TATATATATATATATATATATATATATATATATATGTACACGTGTATACATTTGTATGTGCGTGTTTGTGTGTGTATGTGTGTAAATTATACGTATGTATATAAAGGATAAAGTTGTCGACGTTAATCAGTCCCTGAGGGATGCGCTATGTATTCGACTTCACTAACTATCGTTGGAGGTGATGAAATGCATATTTGGCCTTTACAGTGACTCGGGGTGGCCTACCGATGTATCGAACTAGTGTTGCTATTCTCCCAGACAAGTCTGGTACCAATTTGCCGTCGCCAGAGTGATAGAAGGCTTGGTGGGTCATGGGTGCGGGGATCGATTCCACGTGTGTCGCAGTGGCTCCTCCAACCACTGCGCAACGCGCACCACACCGCATATATATACATATGTATATATATTGTAAATATGCGTAGATACATGTTTTAATACACACGTGTTTTGTTGAAACTGCGGAAATTGTAGAATATTAAGAGCTGCAGATTGGAAATTGGACTCCCCTGACTGGACAGGACGAATGAAACTGGTAGCGATTGGTAAACGACTGGAGCTTCGACTAGAAGACAAGAGTACCGGTGAGCCTTTAGTTTTGGCCTTCGCAATTGGCTAGATTTTTCGTAGAGTTCTTAACACATCACTTCTCGACGCTAAATTAGCCAAATTTGGCAGAAAATATGTTTCTCAAAGAATGTGTAGCCCTTTAGATTTGACCTTATATTTTATGAAGGCTTTCCTCGTTTTTCCTGTGGAGTGCAGCCATCTTTTTGATAAATTTCAGGTGCGTTGTATGCAAAGTGCCCTATCGAAGCTTTTCCCGGTGTTTGCATTGAACCGGTTACTGATTCATCTCGTTATTTCGTTATTCGACTAAAGAATGACGCTGAGCAAACGGCATTCGTGGGTTGTGGATTTGCAGATCGGGGAGACTCGTTCGACCTGAACGTTGCTTTGCAGGTAGTTGTATCGTAGTTTAAAAGGATAAAAGGATGAAGCTGTCGGCATTGATCAATCCCTGAGGGATGCGCCATGCATTCGGCTTCATTAAGTATCGTTGGTGCTGATTAAATGTGAATCTGGCCTTTACAGTGACTCGCGGTGGCCTACCGATGTATCGAACTAGTGTTGCTATCCTCCCAGACAAGTCTGGTACCAATTTGCCAATCTCGGAGGGTTGGAAGGCTTGGTGAGCCATGGGAGTGGGGATCAATTCCACGTGTATGTCTCAGTGGCGCCTCCAGCCACTGCGCCACACTTGCCCCACTATCATAGTTTAGTAGTATATAAATCCTATACTATGGAACTTTATACTCGTCTTATTTCGTAGATCTCTCCATATATGCAGTACCTGTCGAACTCTCCGTAGAGAAATCCATATGATACTATGTTTATTACTTGGCCACTTGGATACTTGAGTGGCCTATCTTCACGAGATCTGTGAGCCCCAACAGTATTTCCTCTTTTTCAGAGTTTTGCTGATTTGGCCGTTGTGGTTTCCTGAAGTTTTGAGATTAGCCTAGCCAAAGTCTGCCCCAGGTCGTCACCAGCACAGGAAATCGCCGCTCACGTGGATCAGAGCGAGATTTGCTACCATTCGACTACTTTGATATCAGAACGGCACTGGGTCCTGGGATTGGTTTACTCTTAACTGGGTTTCCTGATGGAAACGCCGGACTCCTCAGAATGAAGGCCCTGCTGGGTTGATGAATCCACCGCTGTACATCGCAGCCCGACACCCACCAACACCTCCCATCCACGATGAGGCAGTAAATCGTTGGGAGGATTTTGTTTATTATTACTTGGAAGCTTTAATTATTGGAAGAAAACTGCCAGTTTTCTTCTGGCTGCTTCCAAAATGGTTTATCTGGTATTAAACAGTTCTAGGATCATTTTAAATACATCGAGAAGTCGTCGCAATTTGAGGAAGCATCAGCATCGCATCCGAGCTTGGATCTGGCGTTTAAGGACGGTCAAACAATATCTATCAATATTGGAGTATGTTATTATTTGTTTAAATTTTGGCGATTTATCTGATTCTACGCTTTTCACTGCTTTACTGCTGATTTCGGTTTCTTGTGTATATATCCATTTTTTTTGAGAACCGGTTTTATACTTGTCTAGTACTGAAAACCAATTCAGAAAAAGAGTGCCACCGGTCAACCACTTCCAACTCGACCTCGTCCGCAGCCACCTCCACTAGGTGGCAATATTCCACTTTTACCCCCACCTCCAGGAAGCTCCGGTGTAGGATTTTGTTGTATATGAATGCTTAATGCTACGAAGCTAGTTGATGTTTATTACGATGCTGTCCAATCAAGAAATTTAGATACGGCTAAAAGAAACACCGTCGAACGATAAAAAGGACAGTGCTACGCGTGATCTATTGTGAGCTGTTATTTTCATAATAACCACCTGCCTTTATAGTTTCTACTTTTTGTTGATACCTAATCACTACAATAGCTAGTTTCAGGAATTTTTGAAATTCACAACACGCCAAGCTCAACATTCCAAAGAATTTCAGGCTTAACTTATTTTACAGGCATTTTTTGTCTGCTTTAACTGAACGGTTGACGTTTCTTACTTTAGTAGAGTTATACTGATTAAGTTTCCTGGGGATTTAACACGTAATACGCAGCATGCATTGTTAACAATGCACTTAGTGCGAAACCGTTGGAGTGCGGTTTTTTTCTGTTTGTGAAACATATTTTTCCTGTTTTGATCACCAGCGAGATTTCATCCATGAGGACAGTTGGGACTCCAATGGTACTGCTGATATCTACGACTATCGCGTTTGATTATGAAATTCTGAAATATAGAACTGTGTGTTTTCAACTTTTTTAAGAGTTTGTAGACGTAGCCTTGGATATTTTGTAAAGAATGTTTCTGTCTGTGAAAAAATGGATCAGTTATTTGTATAGGTTTATGCAGTGTTTAAGTTTTCAGTGACTTCAGTGTTCGTCGATTGTCGAGAAATAAGCTTCGGGAGTTATGTGTTTACTAGTATTTTGCCCCTAGATTACTATTCTATAGTGGTAATTCATTTCGTCCAAAACGTCTGCTGTTTTGGTTCTTCTTGTTTTCTTTGTGGTTTGGGAATCGTTCAATGTTTTATTACCTGAGTGCATAATAAAAATAAATTGTTACGCTGCAGTGTATATACTTTTTGCGTCGGTTTTACATGGCAGTACTTTCACATATTAAGTGGTTAATCAATAATATGCGGTGCTTTTTTCATAGTAACTTTACCGACTTTGTTTTTATTGCCAATTTGTTATGTAAATTGTTCGACAATGTATGTTCATTTTCCTTAATTCTTTGAATTAAGATTTCAGTTCTCCTGTGTTGCCGTCTTCATATCTTCTGGATGATTAATTTAAGTCTTCCAGATGTTTCCGCAGATGTTCGATGCGTTTCCACAACCGGCTGCCCAACCAACTGGTACTGCAATACGTCGTCTTCAACGTGATTTTCAGCGGTTGCAAAGCGAACCTATTGATGGCATTACTGCCGTTCCGAATGATCAGAACATACTGGAGTGGCATTATGTGATTAGAGGATCCTCTGACACACCCTATGAAGGTAGTACAAATGCAGAATATACAACATTTTACAGATATTGTCAGAATGTAATGTATGAACGAGGACAGATATGTTTATTGTTACTTGCTTAAGTAGTCCATCTTTTCAGGTGCCACCACATATTGAGGTGGTTTGTTTGGCTCGCGACCATTCTCCATAGTTTTGATTTGTTTTGAGTACGGCTATGCCTCCTCGCCTCCTCCCTGCTCCAACGGTTTACTGCTTCATAGTGGTTAGGTGTTTCTGGGTGTTGGGGTGTGATCTACAGCAAGGGGATTCCATAACCCTTCTCCATCCCTCTCCCTCAGGATTACAAGCTGATGGGTCTGACGTTTTCATTAGGAAGCCTAGCTAAGAGTAAGCCAATGCCAGGATCCACTACCGTCCTGGTATCGAACCAGTCACATGGTGGGAAATCTCGCTGTGATTCACAACTCCGGCGATTGTCTGTGGTGGTGACGAGGTGGAGCAACTTTAGCTAAATTAACTTCGGGACTATAGGGAACCGCAATGGCTGAATCAGCAAAATTCCGAACAAGTGAAAATTATCCTGGGGCCTGCACAACCAGTGAACATGGGTCATCCAAGTAACTAAGTATAGCTACGCCTGAAGTCATCACTCCATGATCCATCATTCATTTACTGCTGTAAATATAGCAAGTTAGTGTGGACCACAAACACGCCTGCCTTTCTTCTAAATTGTCTCGTCCATGTACGCTCCCACTCATCATAGAGGTGTCGAGTCCTGCTTACGCTGTTTTTTTTTTTTCCTACGGTCTAATTCTTTCACCATTTTTTTCGCAGAACCGTCCATTTCAATTTGTTTGCCTTACACTATAGGTTTTCTATGAGCTGCATTTACTTCTGTTTCATGCGCAGTCCCATACTTTTTAATGCTTCTCTGAGTTGTTCTAGTATCGTCTGCGTTTCACTTTTTTTCCCACTCTTAGAAGAGACCATAGCATGTTCTTCAGTAGATTAGGTTTGTCATCAATTTAAGCACCACTAGAAGAGGTGGATTTCTGTGATTCAGTGGTCAGAATGTTTAATGCTACGTTGCTACTTAATCATTTACCCCATTTTTGGATTGATCTATGCAACCGAGTCATTGTTGATATCTTTCTTGCACTATACGTCAGGACTAATATGAAGGAAAGGACAATAGCGCGTTCGCTCCCCACTGTAGACACCTGCGGTCCGGAGTTTTGCAAATAGCTCAGCATTATAGAAGTAATATGAAGTTGCCTATATGCGCCTTGAAACAGTTTTCGTAAATGGGTTGTAGAACAGAGTTAACCTCTCTTTTTTTTTGAAGTTTTTTTGCTACGTAAACTGAATTAAGCTCATCTAGCTTGTGGCTTCATACGCCGGAGTGGTCAACCATAAATTTTTATGGTTTTGGCGCTCTCCGTTCATGTTTCATGTTTTGTGTTTTCAGCCTTTTCCTTGCGCTGGGTGGTAGAATTTTTGTCTTCGTCCACCAGTTATCGGCGCACAATATTCGCATAGGTTCTAATGGTATTTGTTTAGACTGATTCCTTCCTGAACAACTTCCAGCATCGTTTTCTGATTATATCAAACTAGGTACTTGTAAGAAGATCTTCTGCCGCTAGCACTTATTACCACCGCGGTATGTTATAACTGGTTGTAACATCCGAACGCTTTGACTGAAAAACTGAAGCAGGCTGCTGATAGACTTCAAGTCTTTCCACTCTAACTTCGTTCTTGACACGAGACTTGAATGACCCGTACTCACTCGTTGTGCGGGCCCCAGCATAATTACCATTTTTCGGAGATTTGAAGACTAAGCCATTGTGATTCCTGGAATCCTGAGGGCATCCCGGCCAAAGTCTTCCCCAGGTCGTCACCACGATAGGCAGTCGCAGCCCTTGTGGATCAAAGGGAGATTTACCACCATGTGACTTTGATATCAGGACAGTGGTGGATCCTGGTAGTGGTTTACTCTTAGCTAGGTTTCCTGATTGAAACGCCAGACTCCTTCTCAGCTTGTGAGACCCTGATGTGGGAATGAATTCCTCCTATGTACATCGCAGTCCAACACTCAGGAACACCTCCCAGCCACGAAGAGGCGGTAACCGTTGGGAGGTAACTTCGTTCTGGAGTTTTCTTTTATCTGTCAGTCTTGTAAGGAGAGATCTTCATTATTTTGGGTTATTAATGTTTTCTCCAGCTTACGGTGGAATCTAATCTTCGCAGGTAGAAGACGTTTAACGGATGGTGATGTTGCAGAGGTGCCTAGAAGGCACCACTTCTCTATTTATAAATATGCGATTAGTCGCATATGAATCGATTTCCATGTCCAACGGCAATCTTACCTCGTAAAGTATGATTTTTGATGAAAGTCTGTTCCAAATATCTGTACTCCGTACCAACTATTACTGAGATTTTCAATTTGACGTTGAGTCTTCCTTAACAAATTTGTAGAGCTGTTTGCAGAATACACCAACCTTGCTCTCATAATCTGTAAAAGTTGTTTGTTTGAAATTTATGAAACTGTTGTTTTTTTTCAAGATGTCAGTCGTTTAACCTCGGTCTCAATAATCAATACTTTCTTGGGTTATTAAGCTAATACTGGATTGGTTAAAAAGGGATTTATTCTGCTAACAATTCGACCTCTTCGTTTTCTTCGGAGCACGGATTGATCCAAATCGCTGGTACAAAGGTGGTCTTCCTCGGAACGTAGTTTTTGGCAATGTGTTGCATAAATTCGAACACAGTGAAATGAAACACCGGTGGAATCTGCTTTTTTGACAGGAAGGTTGTAGTTCGAGAGTGGTGAAGCGACTTTAGAATTTCATACATGTCCACGAATGGTTTAGAGCAAAGCCTGCACCACCAATATTTCATGACGAAATTTTTGTATATTGATGACGAAGACTCATGACTGAGTTAGATTACGTTGGTTTTCTTGCTTCTAGTTAACATAGTAGTCGCTAACCCTTATCGATCGGAGGGGAGCACTCTCTGCAACTTTGTAAGTGAGAAGCTACTAGGACGGTCGAGAGGATTTGTGGCACTACTTAGGTTTTTACCAGTTAAGCTACCCATCATTTTTGGATCAGAAAATTTCTGAAAAAGAATAAACTGCTTCAGATGCCTGAAATCCGGAAACTGGATAAACTACCTCAGATGCCTGAAATCCGGAAACTGGTTTTGGTGAAGATTTGAGGACGCTCTAACGGGCCTATCCTACAACTCTGAGGAGAATCTCCTTGGTCAACATTCAACGCCGTTCATGAAATACACTATTCATTTAACAGCAGAACAGATATAGAACTGCAAAGATCATTGTGAATGATGGATGCAAGACAGCGTACCTAATAAGAGACTGAGATCCCCACAATATGTGAAGGAAGGTCATATGAGTAAATAAATAATGGAGAATAAGATTAATGGAATGGCTCTATGTTTGAGTACTATTTGGTCCTGGTGATCCATGAAACTTAGAAGACGAAATTTCCAATTTTGGAAGCACTTATTTCGTGTACTTCAATATTCGTATTGTATTTATCGGTCGGTAAATCGTCGCCACTTCTCTAAAACCATTGTGGTGTAAACTTAGTTGGTCATGGACTGTGATAAGTCCAGTTGTAGCGTGTTCAAATTGCTACTTACGCAGTGTTGCTGGCACGCTCTATGTTTTTTTTAGTTAAAATTGGGATATTTGTTCTTACCTGTTCTCTTCTTAATACGTAAAAACCTCTTATGTTTTGCCATCTTTTTTCAGGTGGCTATTACTACGGGAAAATAGTCTTTCAGCCCGATTTTCCATGGAAGCCTCCAGCAATATGCATGTTGACGCCTAATGGAAGGCTGGTATTCTGTTTATAGCATTACCATTTTTGTAGATTAGTCTGAAATTCCACATGAGTATTTCCTCGGGTTTTCCTTTTTAGGTTTGAGACCAATGTGAGACTCTGTTTATCCATTTCCGATTACCATCCAGAATCTTGGAATCCAGGCTGGACTGTCTCATCTATCCTAGTTTGTTGTTGTTTTAGTTAGATCATTTGTTGGTTGTTTAGACATAACTACACTAAGGGGATTATGGAAACTATATCACAGCTAAATTGTTTTTCCTTGATTCTTTAAAACTGCAGCTGCAATCACTACACTCTTAGTCTTTCTGAAGATTTTAAGGTGTTTAACTCTTTGAAAGCAGGTAAATATCAATATGGGCGAGTTTCAAAGCGTATTTTTTGGATTGGTTCTAATAGTGTGACCTTTAGCGCATGGGTAACCCTGTGGTATGGACTTTGTTAAGTCGGCATAATTCCCTCGTTTGACCCTCTCTGGGCCAACTAAGCAGTTCTACCATCATGACTAGGATAAGAATTGTCACCGAGCTTACCTATGACTATTTATCACCCTAGAGTACATGAAGATGGCAACTAATTGTGATGTAAATGTAAGAATGCGTAGCACGACTACCCCAGTATTCCCGGGGGAATAAACTCGGCGAGCATGTGTCGATCTCAAATCCTCAAGGTGTAGCCGAATACGTACCCAAAATCTGGAGATCCTTGTCGATGATAGATGCATGCAACGGAACGAATTGGATACACGAAGTGCTAGAATCCGCACCATGTATGTTAATGTCGGACCATGCAAAAAGAAATAATGGCCTCGAAAATACGAGACTTTACTTGAATGTTTTTTTTTCGGCAAAATATTTTCGATTGGGTTTAATTGTGATAGTTTGTTAAAGTATGTTTTGCTACGTGTAGTCTTTAGCATTTAGAGACACGAAAAAGTCATTCCAGTAAAAGTATGTTGTTTTAGGTCGGACTTCACAGTTTTATGAACGAAGAATCTTTTGCCACTGGGGTGCGTAATGATAATGTGGAAATTCGTCGTCAGTATGCAGCAGCAAGCAAAGCTTGGAATATTGCGGTGATGAGAAATAAATTAGTCTTTATTTGTTAATTTATTTATCTTTGATTTATATGACCCGACATCATATGTTATGCGAATACCAGCTCTTGTTGCATTTGATTCGTTTCCTTGCATCTGTCACCCACGGTTTTTTTTAGAGAGAAGGGGGAAGGTTACATGTAGATTGAGCTTCTTTTCGTAGATTTTGGTCTTCTTTATAAATACCACTCATTGGCAATGGAGTCGATTCTTTCTAAAGTTCTAGCGTGGCCGTGCTAGGATTTTCGCAGGTCTTCATCTCAGGCAGGTGCCATTTTTTTTCTGGATTGGAGGGAACCAGCTAATTCGAAACGAGTCTGCTACCTAGCTCTCAACGCCGGAAGGATCGGAGGTTTGGTGAACCCAAAGAAGTGTCGAATGTCGAAAGAAATTCTAGGGAATCATGAAAGTCATTATTTTTGAACTTGATTGACTTGATTCATCACGTGAACAGGCGAAATTTGTTCACCCATGTTTTTTAACCAACCGGCGGTGGCTAGTAAAATCCCCTGATACCTCGGGCCACAGATGTCAAAACAGGATTAGCATCTCGTGTTGACTAGAGTCCAGTGTGACCTGGTTTTCACTTGTACGTATTTTGAAATAGTTGCGTCTACCAACTTTTAAGCAACATATTTCAGCGCGAGTGAGATTTGTCAATTGCCATCAGAATCCGTAAATCTTTGCAAGTAAGATCCTTGTTTCTTATCCTTCCACGGTGGTCCTTCGATCTGAAAATTCGCTTGTTCTTCGCCTTTTTTTTTGGTCGAAGCAGATATGTCAAGCAGCAGAAGCACTGGGTAAACTGAATGTCGTCCAGTAAGACACGATGCTATTCTCCAATGTCTTGTTGATGTCTTCACCTATCGGCTCACCTTATAAGTTTTAGAAGTTTAGATATATTTTTCAATTTTTGTTGGAAATTTTAATTCTGAATTACTTTTAAAACAAAGTAGCATCTTTAGAAAACCATTTTTGCACTTAGAGCGAAAAGAGCGTTAGGACGACATAGCTCTTTGCACGCAAATGGGTTTTGGTTCATGTTCTGTTGGTTCCTTTCTCTGTATCAGAGGTTCACTAGTGGTGAAAATAATGGGAATGGTGTAACTTCAATGATGCTGAGATATTTGCAAAACTCCAAGCAGCAAGTGTCTGCGGTGGGGAACGAACGCGCTATTACCCTTTCCGGGGGCTAACGCGTTCACCACCACACCGAGCAGGTCCTTCGTTATGCTTTTCTCCAAAAAAATTAGTAGTCATTGAAAATGTTATTAATGCCAGTGGAATGATAAGAGTCTTGCTTGTAACTTCTTTCCTAAATGAAACGTGTTATGACGACACACTTGCTATCCACCACACCAACCGACGCCCTTCCTTTGCTCTTCTATCAGCCAGTTTTCTATTCTAACGCTACTGTCTGCAATTATTCGTGAACAAGAATGGTCTTAGGAACACAAATTGGCTTTGAAATCACTAGAGCAGAACCTGAATTCGAAGTCACGATGTTTAATTTTTATTTGCTGTCTCTTTTTTTTTGATAGAATCGTTAGAGTAAAAAAGAAACTGCCTGAGGGAAAACAAAGGAAGGCATCGGCTGGTGTATTGGTGTAATAGGTACCAATTGTGCCCACAAAAGAGGTTTCCACGGGTTCGAAACCTAACTGAGGTTCTGAGTGATGCCGACATGTCAGCCTCCTTGTGGCTGTCTTCACGATAGATCATGTTGTCTTCAGTGCGTTTTCTGCTGAATCCTGGAGTGTCGGTAAGCCTACGCTAGGATTTCTTCCTGTGGTCACAGCATTGATTCGCCCGTCTATGTGAATTGGAAGTAGATTTTCTACGTAAATCAGTTTATTTAAGTGTAACGGTAATTCGTGCCATTAATTGACGCCTAGTGTGGGTTTTGGTTGGCAGTATGGTAGTGTTCAGTATGGTGGTACTGAGATTTCTTGGTACAAACCACTTTGAAACATCCGCTGTACAAGTGGCAGCAACCATCAGGCACGATGAGACAGTACAGTGTTTCGACATTTTTGAGTTTGATCGTGCTGTGAAGTTTTAGAAATACATTAGGTTTAACCTTCTGCAACTCATAGAGGGTTCATTGTAACCCGATTAGATTGCTAAAATGGATCTGTGGTTTAGAGATAGGATTCACCTGTATCACCTGTCGTCCCGTTGATCCTTGAGTGACTCGAGCGTGCACCAGTAAATCCTCCATTTTTCTCTACCACGTGTAAGAGTAACTCAGTGGGTTCTGCTCGCTCTAGGGATTCGTTGAGCATCATACCTTTCACATCTAGAGGATTCCAGCACTAACAGCTTTTGTTCATTGGTTGTCGTTCGCATGCATTACGTATCAGGCCTACCTTATCTTCGTTTAGCGAATAGAGCGGCGTCTTTGAGCTTCGATCAGTAGCATAGGTCGAAGCTTCAAATCCTTTCCCTCACTTGTGTGAAGTGGGATACCACTAGCATTATCTTTTCGACTGCTTGTTCAGCAACGCTGAGTGATCTTGCATCCTGATGATCATCACGACATTCTTGAGGGTGGTGGTGAATAATTTTGACGAGATGATATCGCCATGCCTATCACCTCTTTTGACGTCAGTGTTAATATCGTTATAGAATTATGATACCTTCGTTTTAAACTTTTTATGCAGTTCACAAAGAGTCTTCAGATATTAAGTACAGACCCCATAGCTATGTAGGATTTCCATGACTCCTATCTCAACTGAGTCAATGAGTCAAAACCTACCTTTCTTTAAACCGATGAAAGTGAGACACAGGTTTGTTGTACTCTCGCAATTCTTCAATGAGTCTGGTTATCGTATGCATGTGGCCCATCTTACTGAATCCTCGAAGCTCTGCTTGCTCACATGGTTCTTCTTCTTCCAGTGTTCTGTCAAACCTATTTAGGATGATTCGGGTGAAGAATTTGTAAACAAAAAACATTAAGTAGACTGAGCGTTTGTTGCCGATATCGTGAACGTCTCCGTTGAGCAATAGCACGGTCTTGCTGGTCTTTCAATGAGTTGCGTCCTTGGATTCAACCAGGTAATGTATGAATAGTCGAGCCAGTGTATTCACGAGGACTGGAGGAAAGTTCTTCAGGTGTTCAGGTCTTATCCTGTCCAGAACTAGTGCTGATCGATTTTCCACCGACAAAGCAGCTTGTCGGATTTCGGAAGGGAGAACCGGTGGTACGGTGTATTCATCGTTCTTATTTCATATGAAGAAAGGAGGACGAGACTATCGAAGAGATCTGAGAAGTAGTTGTGAATGATTTTTTTCCATTGTCTATATGGGAGCTGTAGGTGTGACGTCTGGGCGTCGGAATGCAACCATCTTGGTTTTGCAATTGGCGAAGCTTCGATGAGCCTTGCGAATACCTTACTCACCCTTCGCAGCTTCGATCAAAACTGTCGGTGTTCTCTTCTTGAGATTTTTCTTTATCTCTTGTCTGCATTGTTTTGCAAGTTCGGACGTGACTTGGCCGTTGCCTGTAGCTCGCCTTGGAGTATCAACTCGAGTGTTTCTGGGGATAGACGTCTCTTGGTGACTTTCGAACTCGAAGCGTGCTAGTTTCTTTCAAAGTATACGAGAATCTTGTTGGAGGCGACTCCTAACCGCCTCCCACATATTCTGTGTTACTTCCTTGCAGGCTTTTAGTCGAATTGACTCGTAGAACACGATCCGCATAAACGAGAACGCAACCACGCGCGTATGTATGAATACTCCTAGAAAATACAGAAGGAGGGCACGTGTGGCGCAGTGGTTGGGGATGAGCAGCAACACGCATGTGGAATCGATCCAAGCGCCCATGGCCCACCAAGCCTTTCATCCCTCTTGGGTCGGAAAATTGGTACCAGACTTGTCTGGGAGGATAGCAGCACTGGCTTGATACATCGGTAGACCACCGCGAGTCATTGTAAAAACCATATGTGTATTCAATAACTTCCAAACGATGATTAATGTTGTCGAATGCATGGCTCATCCCTCAGGGATTGGTCAACTACGAGAGCTTCATTCTTTATCGTTTTAATCACAAGCTGTATCCCAAGTCGGTGCTGCAGAAACAGGGAGTCCATCTCCAGGATCCACCTGTGTTTCAGGAAAGCAAAGGTCTGCGATTAACCCCCTACTCGCCAAGATCAGTGGAGAAATAGGATTACGCATGAAAAAGAAGCAAAGTGCACTTGTCTGCCATTAAGATTTGCATATTTGCCTGCATGGTGAAGCTGTAACGAGTTATAAATTTGGATAGACTGGATTGACCTTTTTACTCTCGGAAAGCACGGTAGATATTTTTGAACCCAGAATTAATATACATTTTTATTGCATGGTGAAAAATCCCGGCTTACATCTTAAGAACAATAATATCTTACAATTATTTAATTTTATTTAATTTTTTCTACACATTATTTTATTCAGTGTCCAGAATTCAAGCGGGCGTTCCCATCTCTCTTCAATGACTTTTTAAAGGCACAGTGGTAAGTTTATGCGAAATTTTATCCAGTCGTAGTTAAATTCTAAAATTTGTGGGGCCACAAGATCCATGTGTTTGTTGCGTATCATTTCCGTGTTTCTTCTTTCCAATTCGTGAATACGCATTTATACTCACTACCTTGGATTTATGCACCGTAGGCTCCTTTGGTACTCCAGCCAGCGAAAGTGTTTTAGTATCCTCGTCTTTCGTTAGCTTTAAGGTGTACAGTAAGATTTAGGATTTATTACATTTTGAAAAGGTCAAAAAGTTTGCTGTAATTTCATTGTGGAAGTGCTGCAAGCAACATCGATTTCGTTGATTCCGATTTGGTTTTGCTTGTTTAGAAGGACATCTCGGGTTGAACGTCATTTGCTACCTAGAAGAGTGAACTGTGAGCAGTTTATTTATGGTCTTTTCAAATGTCGTTCTATTCCAGCGACATTTTAATCAGTGATTTTCTGCATTATTGGGCTGATACGAGGTTGGTATAAAAGTTTTGTTCCACTAAGATTTTGGCACCTTCGCTTACTTCAATGTCGCATTTTAAGATATTCCCATGCCACATTCCTGAGACATTTTAGTCCAACAAGATGTTTTACGGTTTCAGTGCTGTTCGCGGCATCACTCTTGGTCTTGTTGTTTCATATTTGTTACGGTCAATAACCCACTTGACCAGTCAGGCATTTTTAATCTTTGAAGAACGTGTTTCACCTGTATGTGCGATGATGTTGGTGAGGTATAAGTTCTGGAATGGATGTCTTGTGTTTTGATGTTAATATATGTTCGTCATTCTATGCATAGTTTTCAGAAACGTTGAGGCATCACTTCGTATTATCAAAGTGGTGTCTTCTTTCATCAGCTGGTTGTAATTGTTTTAGTAACTGTTTTAGTGTAATGTAATGTTGAATTTAGACCTCTTGAGAAATGATATTCGTAGAATAAGAATAAGAATTCGTCTTTGATACCGGTTTCTTATCATTCTTATCCACTATCCGTTTTTATTGTGCTTGCTGTATGATCCTGAAGAGTTCATTTTTCTAGTCGTACCGTGGTTAGTTGTTTCTCCTTATATTCTTTATGAAGATGTTGCTTAAAGTCACTTTTGCTCAAAAGAGATTTGACGTTGATGTTGAATTCATTGGAAATACTTCCTTTTTTGTCAAAGGTAAGTGAAAAATTACAAAATTTGATGTCTGTCAAACCTTTTGGTTTCTTCTATCTTGTTCTACGTTGTCAGGTGTTTGAAATCAATGTTATACTTGGTGTTCCATTATGTCTGATTGCTTGTGCTCCATGAAATACTTGATTGAAATGTTTGGGCCACTCTAGTCATTAGGTCTAGGTGACGTTTTTCCTTCCTTTCTTTGTTCACTTTAGGCGAAGTGCATTGTATGTGATTCATGGAGCATGAGAACAATTGGACTCTATTAGATTTAGATGAATGATATGCTTCGATTTCAGTGTGTATATACCCTATAAGTAGTTAGGCCTTTCAATCAACATATTTCAGTTTGTAGTAAACTTTTGTCGTTGTGGACCAAACTCCATCACTGAAAACCAACTAGTCTTTTCTAAGAATATGTAATCTCTCGTATTCCGTTAGACGAGACTCAGTTTTTTCCCGAATCATAGATCTCTCCTTAGTTTTGTGGCTTTTCTTTTATTGAGGCTTGTATTTCGAATAGCGAAGCCGGATTTTGTATAGCGTTCAGCATGACATTGATCTGAGAAGTCAACAAAGCCTCAAGTTGAAACCAAATCCACACTCGGATCCTATCACCTCAACAAATTACTGTTTCACCGCAATAGAATAAATGATAGAAGTACTGGGACCTTTGTGTGGAAACGGGTCATCGAAATATATGTCCTTAGGGCGATAGAGCGAGATTTCATCACTGGTCGAGTTTTCGGTGAATTATCGGCACACTGTGAGAAGACTCTCTTCTAGACCATAAAAGGTGGCATTCCTTGGAGATTGCAGCTGTGAAGTATCTGGTGGTTGTGGTGGTGGTGACTATTCCCGTTGATCATGTCATCGTAGGATATTTATCACCTTGTTCTCAGACAGTGCAAACTTCTTAACATAAGCAAAAATGTCACATACTGTGCTGGTATGGCACGGAAAGGGAGAACGTTCACTGGAAGACGGTGGTTGGAGAGTCGTGGAGTGGTTGACGGGATTCACTGCAGTGCCAGACCATACAACGCTGTTCTTAGTTCTTTGAAGTCGGTTCTGCTAACGAGATGACTTAAGGGACCTTATAAGGATTGTTCTTTCAGTACTTTGTGGTATTTGCAACCTTGAGGTCCTGTTTCACTACGAGTCAGATCTTTTGTCGTATGCTATATAAGAGCTGGTAAGCGAAATAAGTGCGGAAATGATAAACCGTGATATTTAAAGGTTTTTAACACGTACTAGTGCATATATTATACGGAAACCGAAGCTTTTGTATGGAAGAGAGCTTTAAATTGTCTGATAGTAAAATACCTGCAGACGACAGTAGGATCGTAGACTCTTCCAATGTTTCAGTTACAGTAATGGCGGCCTCGGTCACTGCAACAGCTCGTTTGAAGAAGGATTACTGTAAACTGCTAAAAGAACCAGTGCCATATGTTCGAGCTGCACCATTACAGGAGAACATACTAGAGTGGCACTACATTATATTCGGTGCGCCAAACACTCCTTATGAAGGTTTGTCTTATTAGTTTCTATTTCTAGCCCTCGGCTTTCTTTTGAGTTGTGTTCTTGAATTCTTCTTCCAAAACATTACTGAAGTGACGGCGCAAAACTGCTCAGACCCAGGCACTGACTGTTACTTTCGGCTTCAGCTTTGTCTTTGTCGCTTGGAGTTATACAAAGATCTTTAAAAGCTTTATGCGCTATTTACCTCCCATGGGCGCGTATGGTGCAGTAGTCGGAGGTGCCTCGCAGTACACATGGGATCGACCCCGTGCCCCTGGACCACCAAGCCTTCCATCCTTCTGGAGTTGGTTGTTTGGTACCAGACTTGTATGGGACGATAGCAGCACTGGCTGGATACATTAGTAGACCACTGCCAGTCATTGTAAAGGTCAGTTATGCATTAAATCACCTCTAAACGATTCTTAATGAAGTAAAATGCGTGATGGGATTGATGATCGCCGAGAAATTTATCCTTTAGTTAGTTCCCAAAAAAGATACCACTGTTTTGCGCCAGGTTTTCGTCGAAGTTTAGTGAGGAAAATTTGAAATGTTATAGCGCTTCTTCACGTTAAACGTAATCGTACGTTTTGTGTTACGTTGATTTTAATGAATAGTTAACAGTATAACTTGATACTCTTGATATGATGCTGAAATATTTGCAAAAGAAGTAGCTGAGATACAGGCGAAACGAATGTTCCGCATAGTATGGTGGTGAACGTGTTACTTCACGGAAAGGACAATAACTCGTTCGTTCCCCACCGCAGACAGCTGCGGTCCGGAGTTTTGCAAATACCTCAGCATTATCAATGTTATTTTTCGCAATATATACCCAGCCGTTGAAAAGAGTAGGCAGTAAATAATAAGTTAAAATAGTTAACAGTATGTTATTAAAAGATTTTAGTTATGTGTGCAGTTTTCGGATAACTCTAGGTTTTCAATAAGATTAGACTAAAACAAGTGGAATTATTTCCTCCATAGCTTCCGTTTTATGGAAAGTAAAACATACGTTAGTAACGTTCTAATAGTGTTTAGTCCTAATTTAAACTTAACGGTGATGTAAATAGAACGGTTTCATGCCGGGTACTACTGTATTCGCGGTTGTTATACCCACTATATTGTTTAGGGATTCCTGAAAAGATTAGCTCTCAACAGAAATTGTTCAGGATGACTCTTTGAGCGATTAATAGGACGATTTTACTTTCCTAGTAAGAGATTCTTTTCAGGAGGTGTATATCATGGTAAATTAGTCTTCCCAAGTGATTTTCCATTTAAACCACCGTCTATTTATATGATTACGCCTAGTGGTCGGTTTCAAGTCAACACAAGATTGTGTTTGTCTATTTCCGATTTTCATCCGGATACATGGAATCCAGCATGGACGGTAAGTGTGTCTAGCATTAGTAAGTTATTTAGTATGTTATTGAAGCTTCGTTTTTTTGTACATCCCAGGTGTCTACTATAATTACTGGTCTTCTGTCATTTATGAACGATTCGGCGCCCACGTTGGGTAGTATTACATCATCAGATGCAGAGAAGAAAATACTAGCCCGTCGCAGCAAAGCATTTAACCTGAAGGTGATAAATTTTTCTGCGCGTGTACATTGGCGCATATTTTCCCATTTTCTCTTCCTTACTTCTTTTCTGTTATATTCTTGAAGTTTTCACATTCAAGGATCGAGTTTTCTGCTCGTTATTTCCTGATGTTGTTGAGGAGATAAGAAAGGAACTCAGTGATGCAAACAGTGCAGAGGAGGCCACATTAAAGGAGGAAGAAGAAAGGCTCTTGAGGTGCATTTTTATTGTTATTCGGGCTCAGATGCTGTATTCATTTGAATACCAGTACACGTTACCCCTGGGACAACGTAGTGCTGTATTCATATCAACGTAGTGCTGTACTTTTTTTGTGCGAAATGAATATAGTTTAACAGTTCTTCTCCTCTCAATACTTTTACTTCGCAGTTATGAACGTCTTAATTGAGTGAAGACGTATAAAGTTAGTCAGCAGATAAGATTTTGTTGCTTCATAGTGTACATCGGCTTTGAGCATTCAGAGGCATCGTTAGAGAATTTTAAACCTGGAGTAATACCTATAAATGAAATGAAGTATGAAGTGACTTTGCTAATTGTCAGAGTATGCGCAACAGCAACTTTACATTTTCACTGTTTCAATGCACTTTCTTGAGGAGTAGTGAAACGTGTTGCACTATGTGTAGAAACAAGAGCAAGTTCTATAAATAGTATCGGGTCACTCATTATCAGCATACCGCCCATTGCAGTTTGAGGATCTCAAACGACTCTTTCGCATATTTTCTATTTATGAATGTTCATAAAGGGGTAATAACGAGGTTCGATTCCCACCACAGACACCTGCGGTCCGAAGTTTTGCAAATATCTCAGCATCACTGCAGTTGTATTTCATGTCATACCCTGCCTTGAAAAAAAAATAGGTGGTGAATAAAAAGTAGTCACTAGGAGCATTATTTTTGTAAATTTTAAAAGGAAAAGAACGCAGAAAGTAATCTGCTTAGTCAATAACAGTAAAGTCGTGAATAATAGATTGAGAGAAGGGGTGGAGCAAGGATTACTAACGTATTTTTGCATAAGTTCCTTGTATGTTTCATCTCCAGACAACATTTTAGTGCTGCCGAGCCGTCGTCAGGGCTTTCGTCGCTCGTGTCGAATCTAATTGTGATTGCAGGCGTCGTGGTGCTTGCGTTTGCAGTTAGATACATGATTCAAGCGGCTCAAGAACAAGATTCGAATTACAAATAGCAATTCATGTGGTGTACGTTTGTGTATTTCTCCCTCACATTTTCTTAGTTTTTAGTTCTTATCCTCTCATTTCATCCTCTTTTATATCGCTAGGTATCCTTAGGACTAAGTTATCCACTCGTTATCGTTTCCGAATTTGTAATCTTTCGGTATTTTTCAGAGATTTTATTGGTTTTCCGTTGCCACTTACTAGTTTTCTGTTCTCCAGCTCATGTGATATTGAGGATACCTGTCTATTCCTTCCACTGCACTAGTCTTTGCTTTATTGTTGAGCGACTATGTTGTTCATGAGAGACGTCTTTAATGACTACCGTTGATAATGTCATTCTAATTTTGAGCGATCGTCTAGTATACTGTCTGAGAAAAATGGCCTTCGTGTGGCAAAAATGATCGCTCATTCAAAGTTTCCTAATAATGTCACGCCGCTCTCTTCATAGTGTTATTTCAGGTTATTACCTTGAAGCTGTGTCATTTTTGTGGGGTTTTCCGTTTGTTTTCTGAGAATCTCACATGTGCCAAACCACTTTTTTTCACAATATTGAATGACATATTCAATACGAAAATGAACATCGCATTTAATATTGTCCTAGTACGTGCTCTACGTACTAGTTGACAAACATAGCAAGTGGGTTCTACTAGTAGATAAGGGTAAAGATTGATCTAATCTAAATCTATTCTCCTTCAGAAGAGATTTTGATTACTGCGAACAAGTAATCTTTTGAGATGATACTGATGATAGTAGATAAGAAGGAGCAGAACACTTGTAACGTTTAGAGTGTTAGTACATAGCCCAAATCGTATTGATCAGATTGATGTGAGTAGTTCTAATTAGTTCTCCATACTGTCACATTGTAACTGGTGTTTTGTCGTTGCCTTCACTATTACTAGTTCATTGCGTTATTAACGACGTATCATTATGATCCCTCCTTTCAACTCCATCATAACTTCTTGCTGAGTATCTTATCTCTCTGGCGTCATTTTTTCTTCCCATTTAGAATATATGTGAGTGCTATGAAACATTATGGGATTGTAAAAGCACGTTTTGCTAAAGCTGATAAGAATGAAGTTTTTGGTTTTCGTTCTTGTTTTATGCTGTGTTTCGTTGGGCAGTATCTTAACTACATATACTTCGTTTCTGTGCTTGCTAGGTTTTGATATACTCATTTATTTGAATACATGGACGGCCCGTCCGCACTGGTTGTGCTTGTTCCAACATGTTCCCCAATTTTCGGAATTGTGCTGATTTAGCCATTGTGTTTCGCCGGAGTCCCGACATCAGCCTGGCCAAAGTCTACCCCCGGTCGTCACCACCACAGGCAGTCGCCGCTCTTACGGATCAGAAGGAAGTTCGACGCCTTGCGACTAGCTTGATGCCACGAAAGTGGTGGATCCTGCGATTGGTTTACTCATAGCTAGACTTTCTGACGGAAACGCTGAATTTCTCAGCATGAGGGGACCCTGCCGGGGAATGAATCCACTCGCTGTACAACGCAGGCCGACGCCTAAAAACGCCTCCCAGCTACGATGAGGCGGTAAACCGTTGGCAGGGATTCTGATCTAGGCAACATCCAACCAAGAACGTTTCCGTGTAGAGCGACTAAGTACTGATTTGCTCTCTATGTTGTTGAAATTAATGAAAAATGTTAAGAATTTAGAAGTAACATACATTGTAGATGAGAATATAGGTTCCTCATCTCCGTCGAAGAGGAGTCCTTCAAGGAGCACTTGCTAAGATAGTACTGCTATCTCGTGATTATACTTTAGACTTATGTGTCTCGAATGTCTTGACCAAGGTGATATCTTCACCTCCATTTGGTAGAACTGTAATTAGTATTCAGGACTTTCATATTCCAGATGTCCTTCTTGCGGAAATATTTGCTTGGTGGTATGGTAGTATGCGTCATATGTACAATGGTTATAGTATACAACTGTACATGCGACAATAGTAAAGGGTGGATCGAGTTTTCACAAGCTCAAATAGCCCCAGGTTGGATGTTCTACTCATAGCCTAGCCTACGGCATTACAATATTCAAGCTTAAGCAGCTCCTATGGAAATACTTCCTGAGACGTTTATTCTTATTATGATTATGTCTTCCCCAAATGAAAGTGCCATAAGAGCTGTGGTGCGGGACACTTGGTTACGACTGTCTCAGAAAGGACCATCAGTGGTGCAACATCGTTTCCCGATAGGAATTAAAGGATTAAGGTGAGGTTTTGTTAGCTTGGCGGCAGATGTTTCTAGGGTTCTAGAATAGTTTACTGGCATTATACCCTTATCAGCTGTTGAGAGCCTCATTAAACAACAAGATATTAGGTTATGGGATTCAATGTTGATTCAGAAGATTTTCGAATTTTAGTGAAACAACGCGTTTACATCTGGAAGAGGAAAACCAAATTCATGGTGATATTGTGTTCCTAGACAACGTGGAGGATGTTTACACAAATCTTGCTCTGAAAACATTGAGAACTATGGAGTATGCCTATCAGAACTTTAGATTCGAATACATTTTAAAGGTTGGTGGATCATCGTCATTCTATTTTCCGGTATAAGTTTCCGCGACCTAAGCTGGTATTACTAAAGTCTTCATTTGTCCTTCTCACATCTCATCTTATGGTACCATAGTTCTTTTATAATTGCTTGTCAATACACTACGCACGTGTGGCTCCAGTACTCTAGGGGCGCGTGTGGCGCAGTGGTTGGAGGCGTGGAATCGATTCCCATGCCCATGGTCCACCAAACCTTCCATCCTTCCGTGTTCGTCAAATTGGTACCTTACTTGGCTGGGAGGATAGCAACACTGGCTGGATACATTCCTGGTCGGCCGCTGCGAGTCATTGTAAAGGCCAGATATGCATTCAATCACCTCCAACTACTAATGAAGTCGAATGCATGGCGCATTTCCCAGGGATTCATCAACGCCGAGAACATTTTTTATGCTTTTCGACAGCGCCGATCAAGTTTTCGTTGTTCGTGCACCATCTCCTTTAATTTTTTGGTGCGAATCTATGGTTTATTTTTGAATTTGACGAAGTCTCATCTTTTCTGGGATGTTATGTTCTCTCATTGGTGTTTTTTGTTCTTAAACACTCTAGGCTTCAATGGTAGGAAGTCCAAAAGAACTCTATGGTTTAACCACAACGTTGCTGAGATATTTGCAAAACTCTGGACCGCAGGTGTCTATGGTGGGGAACGAACGCGCTATTGTCCTTTCCGGGGAGTAACGCCATAGCTTAACTGGGTTCTATGCCGATTTGCGCTCCCCGGATCAACCCCGCTGACGGGTGATTGCTGTGGCAGAAAGTTCGATAGAAATAGCTGAGAGACAGGCGAAACGGAGGACCCGCATGGTGTGGTGGTGAACGCGTTACTCCCCGGAAAGGACAATAGCGCGTTCGTTCCCCACCATAGACACCTGCGGTCCAGAGTTTTGCAAATATCTCAGCAACGTTGTGGTTGTATTTCGCTTAGTAACCTGCCATGAAAATTATAGAAGGCAGAAAACAGAACGTTAAACTCTGTGGTTTAATTCCATGTTAGAAGTCAAATTCTCGTCGAGATTTACATTAAAGTTAAAGACTGTGAAAGATGAGTGAGGAAAGTTGTTGTGAGTGAGCATCTCGTCTTTGAAATAATGTAGACAACGCTGGATTTTTCATTAGGCTTGGAATGGACAGGACATCAACTACAATGCTGCTGTCTTGGATACCGTCTTTTGGTTACATATATATATACATATATATACATATACATATATATGTATATTTACCTTTTTGTTTCTATATGGCCCGTCTAACTTATCTGCTGTGAAATCTCAGCACTTCTCACATTCGATTCGTTTCCTCGCATCCATCGTCCACTAAGGTTTTCCAACTTTTACGTGTGGCTTTGGCTGCTGCTTGAAGATTTTCCTTTCATCCTGTTTGTCGTTCAATGCTGAGTCAGTTCTCCTTGAAGTCCTGAGATAAACGGACTCAAACATTTCTGTTCGAATTGCAGGGAGTTATTTTTTCCCGGACATGTTCAGTACGAGTTTCCTGACCTAGGAGGTGTAAGCGGTATCAAAGCGACGTTATTAGCACCGTGCTTGTGTTGGCTATACATATATATCGTGTTGTTGATTATTTTTATCAGGTGCCAATAAATTCGACTCCATTGCATGTTCTAGTTAATCAGTTGACTAGTTCAAGAGGTGCGAAAGCTATAATATTTGTTGTTCATCGTCCTCATGGTGAAGAAAATGATTAAGATACATCGCTTATCTCTTACCGCCTAACAGCGCAGATTTGCAAACCTCGTCGTAAGCTGGCTGACATTTGCCTACGGCTCAGGGTATTTATGGTATAAGCTCGAGGTTGCTAACCAGTTCATGAATTTTTTCATCATTATCATTAAGATGTTAAATCTGTTGGTCGTCGTTTCCTTTAATGTAACAGCGTTGTCGTCCAGAAGTCTGGTTGAAAAAGCGAACCTTTATCTTATAGTGTTTTCGGTTTTGCATCTTGAATTTCACTGCTATTGGCATCCTGCGCGAAGGAGGACTTTGTTCAGTTTCCAGTGAAACTAAGGGAAAGGCAACGTTGTTTAAACAAAATATTCGGTTTACCGTAGTGTTGTCTATTTCTGTATTCCCCTCTACACTGCGATTAAGAGGAGAACTTTTGGGATTTCTAATCATAATGAGTGGCCCGAGTCGAGTCTAATTTCCCACAATTTCCCATTAGAGGAGAGCGTTGTGACCTTTGTGAGACCCTTGTGGATGATATATACGAGGAAAACGAATGGAATTGAAATAAGATCTGCACAATAGATTTGTTGACGGATTATGTAATGTAATGTAATGTTATGAAAGGAATTATCCATTTTGTTGCAGTATGCTTGAGCCTTTCATCGTATTCGTTCTATTCCATTCAGTGAGTCACTGTATCAAGTTCTTCAAACGTTCTTTTAAGGCCAACCTTAGTACTGAGGATACCAATATTGACCTTGTGAGGTTGACGTGTTTTTCAATGTCTTAATTTTGAGTGTAATCGACAGAAATACTCAAAGCGCTGTATGCGCACATCTTTCAAGGCAAGCGTTTGATTCTGGTAACTAGTTGTTCGAGGGAGTAGATGTTCACCGGCAAAGGTCGTGTTGAGGGCAGCAATACCGCCGACTTCTGCACTATAGAATTTCCTAAGAACCAGTTCTTCTTTGTCGAGCTCATTTAAAAGAGTGTCTTATCGGCTCAAACGCTACGGTCATTACTGACTTCAGTGCCATTTTCTTTCAGATTTAGGCAGAATGGAATAGTTGTGATTTTTTATCCAGTTCTTGCCCCATCTAACGTTGCGCTCCACAATTCGCCTTCTAGATCTGTCTTCTGATCTGATCTCGGCCTTCTAGTTAAACAAGATAAGCGTCAGCTTTTTGTATAGATTCTTTTATTCTTACTGTCTTTGACAGAAAGTGACTAAGGAAGGATCACCGGGCCCCGTTCTGGGTATATGGACACATTATGCGTTAAACTGTCTCGAAGTAAACGAGTTCGTTAATTCGTGATGATACTGAGGCTTCTTCATGCTTAATAGTTAGTTGATTGTTGGCAACTTGCCTAATTGATGTGGCAAGGTGCAATCTGCAAGCACTTGAGCTCACCTATATATGTAGCTAACGTTTGCATCTTTTTACTATGAAGTTGTGGATTTTGCACCTTTCTTCTGCTGTTGCACAGTCAGCAAACCACCTCGTGAAATTATGGAGTTTCTCACAGTTGTTGCCGTGATGTTTTCATAAATTTTTACGTAAGAGATGAATCCAAGTTGAAAACAGTGTTGGATCTTCGAGCTTTATTTTACGGCTCACGTCATCTCGTTTTAAGAACATTTTAAGTATGGTTCTTTAAACAACTTCATTTGTATGCCGACCCCGGAGGGGTGGAGGGTTCGATGAGCCACGGGCGTGAGGATCGACCTCATGCGTGTTGCAGGGCTCCTACGACCACTGTGTTACACGCACCCTTCAGAGCAGTAGAAATTCTTTTGAGTTGGATTTTGCAATATCATTCAATAAGAGAGAAAGGGATTTGTGGCTTAAGGTGATTTCTTATGTCAATGTATCTGTGGATATAGAATTTTTGGTTCAGAGTTTGATGTTTCCATCTCGCCAGTTTTGCAATGTTAGTCCTCCCATTAATTGTGCGGATTGTTATTTTAGTCCTAATTGAGTAAACTTCACTCACCCGTAAGACTTTCTGTGTTTAAATTCCTTGTCATTAATTAGCCATTAGTGTCGTCGTAGTAGTGTCGTTAAGACATTTTACGGTGTGTACCCATTTTGTTTTCAATTACGTTTGCTTGCATTAGTATGTGTTTCTGTACGAAGAGCTGATGAAGTTTTAGGTCGACTCTGATTCTTTTGTTCGATTGGGTGCTATTATTAAAGCCTTAAAGGACATACAACATCCACGCCTGTACTGGGGATTTCTCGATGGACGGGCGAAGCCCATTCGCAAAGGCAAATGGCGTGAGACAGATTGGATACTTTGTGATCGTTATCTTCCATACCAGGTACCTTAGTATATTCTTTTTCAGACCTTTGACATTTGTTATACGAATGGTGTGGAATCGGTGATTTTGTTAGTTTAGGAAACTATTTGAACAAGAATTAACGTTCATTTTTGCCAGTGAATATCTAACCGCCTTGATTCGTATTGATACCAGTCGAACTACGAATGGTAGCGAATTCGGTTTTCATATAGATATGTGCGTTAAACTCGCCAACACATAGTGCATTCTGGGTGTTCTCAGAATTATACTTAAAAATATTGCTTCACCTAGTAATTGCTTATGAGAGGAATGAAGATCGATATCACAAATTAAATGAGCTGTTTGCTGGTTTACATATTGGACGAATGTACTCAATGCAAGTATATACTGAGTAGAACTGTATTACTCAGCTTGGTGGTGGCTACGTGCTTTCCTTCGAACTTGTTCGATTTCTAGCGATGAATGCACGACTATTCAAGTTGTACAAAAACGAAGACGTTTCTGTGGGAGCATGGCTAGCCGGTATGGTTCACATTACTGTTTTTGGATTTTAGCTGTCGGACTGTAGTTTTTTCCAGGGTTAGATATAAAATACATACATGACCCTCGATTCGATACCGAGTGGAAATCGCGTGGTTGCAACAACGAGTACCTCATAACACACAAGAAGTCAGCTGCTGATATGGAAAAACTATACAGCAACTTGGTTAGCTTTTCTAAAATTTTTGTTTAATAATTCATCGAGGTGCGAATTCTGAGGGTTACGGTACAAATCCTCCGTTTCAACTACTATTTGTTTTGCTTCGTTGCAAAATATGAGCGACACTAAGTCATGGTCCACTTTAAGAATAATACGTAAATTTTACTATATGTTCATTACCTGGAAACCAGTCTCCGATTGCTTACTCTAATAAGCATTTTTGTCAACATCTATGCGTATGGATGTGATGTATCAGTTTTTTAACACTTTAGCGTCTAGTGATCTCTATAGGTGTCATAACGGAGTCACGGGAGTGTCCAGTATGACACTTCTAGGTGTCATTTTCTTTCCGATGGTTTATTTTGGTGCACAGGTTTTTCCTTTCTTATGGTCATCGATGGCTTGTCCAACGCAGTTGCTGTGGCGAACGTCGTCCTTTGTCTTTTACTATATGTCTTCCGGGGCTGCATGTCTATCTGTCTATAGGTCTGTATGTCTCTATTTCTATAGGATATCTTCGTAATAATTTTTAGCTATTTTCTCGTTTTGCGACAAGGGACTATCACTTTCGAGGCGAGTGTACGGCTTAGAGTGTGTAGCAAGTGAAGAGGTGCAGAAATGCTTCTGCCTGAAAATCTGAAAATGCATGCAGTGTGAAGCATCATTATTGACAAGAAATTCACTGTTTTCTAGTTTTCAATTACTATAATAATTGCTGGGTATTGTTCGGAATGAGAGGATATCGAAACAAAGAGGTGAATACCGTAATTTTTCTCGGAGAGCTTATGCGCCTTCATTAAATACAGCAGTATGACTGCCTAGTATGAGTGATTCTGGTTATACATAAGTATTGTACATGAGCCAAAAGCATGAAAGGGTGTGTAGGAGAACATGGAGCATGTGCAGGATAGGAGAAGCGCGGCAATTTTTTCAAAATGCAGAGAAAGACCGATTTATAGAGCAGGAATTACAACTAGAAAAAGTTTAGTTCTAAACTCACCGTAGCGCAAAAATGTAGTATGCGCCAGGTTTGAGATAAATAATAATAATGTGGTGAAGGACAAAATAAGCCTAGATAAAAAATAAATAAATAATGATAAATTCACTAGTAATAATAATATAATAAAAATCTAAATAAATTTAATAATATCTAATAGCTAATAAAATCAGACACTATTACACTATCAGTCAGTGATAAAGGTGGCGAGTTTGTACTAATCCCTCATCAGTTAAATGTCGAGATAACGGAAAAGAATCTTCAAAAGTGCTTCATTTTACTGCTTATTATCTGAAAAGGAATTCAAAAGTGAATGACGAAAATTGAAAAATGAATGTGTCAAAATGGCAGACACGGTGGGTTTGAAATCATGAATTATTTCTCAGCTTAAGCTTGAGTTACCAACGTGTCTCGTGTTGCAGTTACCTATTTGAACACGTAAGTTACTTCTTTTCTAACCTTTATTTGCTGCATGTTCGTTTTTATTGGCAGGTTACTGTGTGCAATACAACCGTAGTAATGCTGGAATATGAACAAAACTTGGATGGTTTGACTTTCTCTTGACCTTTTTTTTCCCTAACCGAATTTCGTGGTTGTTTTTCACATGATAGCCTGGCATGAAAAAAGAATGAGCAGTAAATAAAAGTTAAAACATTGTGATGCGAAGTACTTGAAGAAGGTAATAGTTATTTAGTGAGAGGTTTAATGAAATGTAAATGAGCCAGGATCTCATATCTCAAATTGCCCAACTTTTTCAGCGTTTGTTCAAGCATGGTTGTGTAAGGTGGTGATTCGTTGATTTTTGTTGGCCATATCTGAATGGAGATGCTACATTTCTTGACGTATTTCATAGATTTCATCGTACTAGTTCTTCGTTATGGTCATTTCGCAGATGTTTGAAACTATGTTTGAACGATTTCCTCCGGCGATGACGAAGAAGCTGTCGCCATGTTTTGATGTGGATTAGGCTTTGAAAAATGCGTAAGAGTTCCATCTCGGTGAACTCATCAATGATCCAGTTTTCATAACACTTCGCACTACTCTGGAGAATTGTGTCGTTTTGTTTCTGTTTTCTTTTTCTTTTTGCGAAACTTTAAGAACCGTTTCCATAGTGAGGGTTTGGAAGCTCATACCTGATTCATCTAATGATTACAACTGTTGCGATTCTTAAAAAAGGATAGCGAACTTTAATTTTTTGGGGTTTTAATTTTATTCAATCTCAATGTGGAAACTTGTTTTCGAAAAGTTGTATGTACACTTGATCTTTTCTACATGTTTGTCGTAAGTTCCCAAATATTGCGGCAATCAAATACCGGTATCTTCGCAAATGTGCTGGAGACAAAATATGCGGTCTTTCCGTGTTTTACAAGGAGTTGGTAACTGTAGTGATTAAAATAAGATGCTGATGAGCACTGTTGAATATTAACGAATCCACTAACTTTTCACGGTTTAGTTGGCCTTAAAATCTCAAGGTTTTTAAACAGCATACATTTACTTCCATAAAGAAAACACAATACAGTACAACACTGGCTGACGTTTCGGCAGTATCGCCTTCTTCAGAGCCTGGAAGGGTATGCTGATATACAATCTACTAGGCCAAACACTTCAATTACACAAAAAGAAAAACTCTCTCGTAATTACATGATCAACAACTTCTCGAAAAAACCCACCGCCTTTTTTTCTCCGTGACTTCCAATGAGGAAGTTTAGAACAGCTGATTATAGTCGCGCATGGTTGATGACAGCACCATTCCACATCAAAATTCGATGCGAACGTACGGGATCAGGACGCGTATGACCTCCGGGCATTCATCCCTGCTGTTCATTGTAGGGTTTTTGGCATTGATCCAAAAAGCCTCAAGGAGTTTTCGCGCTGGTGTTTTGAACTCCTGTGCAAGGATATTGACTTTTACTTCGAAATCGAAACTTCGAAAGTCCCGCTATGCCTTTGTATCCTTGCGTGCCTAGTGGAGTACTTTGTCTTAGTTTTCGTTTTCCATCTAACTGTTCTATTATACAGTTGTTGTCTCGCAAAGAAGATCATACAGGCGGTTAGGTATTTCAACTATGGCTACCGATTCCGCTAGCTTGCCCTTCTTAAGCACAGCACCCCACGAGATAAGTTTACAAGGAGAGCGACGCTCACACGCGAAACACATAGCCAAAAGATGGTCTCGTTTATGTTGTCTTTTATAAGCGATGAAATAAGCGTAGCTATAAAACGTTGCTTAAGAAGGGCAGGTCTAGAGGAATCGGTAGCGATAGTTGAAATACAACCGGCTACTCTACGTCTTCAATTAGTTCGTAACCGCCTGTATGACCGTCTGTGTGAAACAACAAATTGCGTAATTTGCCCTTACGGCAGGGACGGTGATTGCATGAGTTCAGGTACGATATACCTCTTATCTCTTATATATGATATATGATCTCTTGTAATAATTGCGGAGATGAATATATTGGCGAAACGGGCAGACCTTCGTGTATCCGTATAAAAGAACACCTAGATGGCAAACGAAAACTAAGACGAAGCACCCCACTAGGCACGCATAGGATACGAAATCATAGCGGAGTCGATTTTGAAGTAAAAGTCAATATCCTTGCACAGGAGACTAAAACACCAGCGCGAGAACTTCTTGAGGATTTTTGCATAAATGCCAAAAACCTACAATGAGTAACAGGGATGAATGCCCGGAGGGGATATGCGTCCTGATCCCCTATGTTCGCATCGATTTTTGATGTGGGATGGTGCAGTCATCAACCATATACGACTATAATCAGCTGTTCTAAACTTCCTCATCGGAGGTCACGAAAAAAAAAGCGGTGGGTTTTTCGAGAAATTGTTGATAATGCATTTACCGAAGGGTTTTTCGTCTTTTTGTGTCATTGAACCGTTTGGCCTAGTAGATTGTATATCAGCATACTCTTCCAGGCTCTGAAGAAGGCGATACTGCCGAAACGTCAGCTAGCGTTGTATTGTATTTTGTTTTTTATGGAAGTAAATGTATGCTGTTTAAAAACCTCGCGATTGCTGAACAAGAAAACAACGCATTCGTATTCCAATACCGAGGTTAATAGAAAGTCGATCCTCGCAACTTAAAATCTCATTTCACGTTTAGCAAGAGGTCATTATTTGGTGGCGGTTTCTTTCAGTGACGTGTTGAACATGTTTTATCTCATCACATCACCGGAAAGGACTATGGACAAATATAACTTCAACGATGCTGAGATATTTGCAGAACTCCGCACCGCAGGTGTAGGCGGTGGGGAACGAACCCGCTATTGTCCCTTTCGGGGAGTAACGCGTTCACCACCACACCATGCGGGTCCTTCGTTTCGCCTGTCTCTCAGCTGGTTCTATCGATTTTTTACCATCAGCAATCACCCTTCAACGGGATTGATCTGAGGAGCCCAAATCGGCAATGAACCCAGTTAAGCTAAGGCTTTAGTTATAATCACAATCTTAACCGTTTTATTTACTGCCTACGCTTTTCGATAGCAAGATATATTGCCGACACCTGTGGTCCGGAGTTTTGCAAATATCTCAGCATCATTAAAGTTATATTTCGCAATATACCCTGCCATCAAAAAGAATAGGCAGTAAATGAAACGGTTAAGACTGCGGACAAACTAACTTAGCGAGTAGGGATACAAGTAGTTCTTCCTTATTTATCAAGGATGTGAAGAAGCTATGGTTATTATTCAGGTGAATCTGCGAGTACTATGCGATAAGGAATTTCGCATCCGAGATTCTTATGTTTACGACTGGAGTGGATTGCCCAGTGAATGTTGCCACAGAAAGAACGGAACGAATATACCGTAATGGATTCTGATTCTAAGACAGAACCTCTTATGACAGTACTTCCATAATTCATAGTTTTTGCTGTAATATTAGCTTCTTGAGGAGAATCGATTTTGACTAGTATTGGCATGAGTTGTGAAAGATAAGAGCATTACAAAGGTGAAAGTACTTCACATAATAGCAAGCAACGACTATACCTACCTTACACTAAACCGTAGAGAGTGGGACTACTCTTTATTGAGGTTAGTTTTTATTATAGTTTATTATTTGGTCTAGATTTTTCGTGAAGCGAATTTCCAACACGAAAATTTGCGACTGAAATGAGTTGAGTCCAGTCATTTCATGGAACTCAGTTTGGAATTTCATTCACATCTTAGTTCAGTAATTTCTTACTTTTGCGTTCTACTTTTGGCAACACCTTTAGTGTCTCCTATATAAATTAGGCCTCTATAAATTATTTATGCAGAAATTGCAAGTTTGATGACCGAAGGCTTTCTTAACGATGAGTCATCAATAGCTGAGGAGAATTTTTTGTGTAGGTATTGACCAAACCAGATCTTCCATCAGTGCACCTCTGCTTTTGATGATTTGTATGATCCAGAAAAAGAAAATATTCCATTTTTTTTGTTTCAATGCTTTAATGTACTTAGTAGGCGATTTTATTATCAAAGTTTACAACGGGTTGTTTTCTTCACCAACTTTTAAGGTCTCTTGTATAAAGATTCCAGTGAGTTCTCGTGTTTATTCTAAAGTGTAAAGTGTATTCTGTGAAGCATATCTTTGAATAGTTCTGAAAATCTTGTAGGACCTATATTTCTATCCTTAGCTGGGAAAGTTATCCTTTTTCTAGTTATTTTTTTGCCCCTGTATTCATGATAGGTTGAGCTCGTACAGGTCTAATGGAGAATCACGCTTCTTTTGTCGGTACATTTACTGGCTGTAACCAAAAAGAGGTTGGTGCTCTTTCTTTTTCTGGAATTATTTCCCAGTCAACTAAAAGGTATTCCAGCTTTTTCTTGCCGAAATCGTAGTATTCCTCGCTTTGGTCTTGAGAAACATTTCACTACCTTGGGTATTTCTCGGACAGAAGTTTAACACTGGCACGTTTAAATATTGGTGAGCCTGTCTGGAATAGTCTTGCTTTGTATTTTTGAAAGTAGTGACCACTCTAGTGAATTTTCAGAGTCACCCAATTTAATCAGGAGAATGCAGTAAAATCTAAATAGAACTAGGCTCTTAAAAATAATTGACATCTTTATAAACATCACTCAGAGGGTACTCTTAGTCAGAATAACACATTCGCTTGTGTTCTCAACACGCTATGGTATATCTTTTATGGGTGGGCAAAGACTTACGGCGAGTACATCTGGGTAGTAAACTTTGGGTAGTGAACACTGATCTTGTACGAATGTTAGGTTGACTTAGCTTTTAGTAGCTCCCATGACCGTTTTTCTGTTAACCTTGGCATTGACTGAACAATTCTTTGCATTCTTGTTGAGTAAACACGGTGTGTTATTTTATTATTTTATTTACGAACAAGCAGACGTTTCGGCGGATTTCGCGTTTCTTAGAGCCAGGAAAGGTCAAGTTGAGAGCAATCTACCTAGTCAAACACCTTCATGACTAAACAGAGAAAATGCTAAACTAAGATTTCGATCATATTGAACACAGAATGGCTTCTTTTAGACCTGACTTAGCTTAGTAAACTTATAAAATTCACTTAAGTTGCTAAGGATGTTTAGGTTGGTAATGTAGTAGGTGTTTTCTAAATGATATCTCATAGTTTTTCAGGCTCAAATTTTTATTGGATTATGTATTTCTTGTACTACCAGGACTGCTTGCGATGACCGTGTTCTCACAGTCTTTATTACTGCTCACAAGTGTGCTTACTGCTTGCCTGGCTACTCTCCTTGTGTTTATTGTATGTGAATATCTTATGTCATCTGATCGCCCTGCCTCTAGAATTGTGCTGAATAGGATAATTGACGAACACCACCAACCAACTATGTTTTTAACATATTTCAGGTGTGCTACAGTTTTTTTCCTGTTTATAAATGTTTCCACACTTCGATGCTACATCATGTGGACCTTATTAAAATTGAGTTTATTTCATTGGTATTTTAGTTGTCATGCCCAAATTTTATCTCTAGAATCTTGAGAAATCCGCAGACGATCATCTTTAAATTTTCAACAGAGTAGTACCCGGTGTTGTTTATCGGAGTGTATTTATCAAGAAAAGATTTGTATGGCAAGAATGAGTTATAACCTCGGTTCTTAAAAGGAGATGCGGTGGAATCTCCAGCAATATTGTCTCCAGTTGCATAGAAATAACTACTTTTTTGACTTCTGACCGATATCCTTATGCTTACTTGGATACTTACATGAATGGCTCGTCTTCACTGGTTGTGCGGGCCCCAGCACGATCCATTTTTCGGAGTTTTGCTGGTTTAGCTATTGTGCTTCCTTGGAGTCCCGAGGTCAGTCTGGCCAAAGTCTGTTCCAGGTCTTCACCACTACAGGCAGTCACCGCCATTGCGGACCAGAGAGAGATTTGCCATCATGTGATTAGTTTGGTACCAGGACGGTGGTGGATCCTGGTATTGACTTAACTCTTAGCTGGGCTTCCTGTCGCTAACCCCGAACTCCTGAGCTTGGGAGACTGCTGGGGAATGAGTCTCCCGCTGTACATCGCAGCGCGACACCCAGGAACATCTCCCAGCTACAATAGGGCAGTAAACCGTTGCTAGGGATATTTTTGCCCAGTATTTTATATTGCGCAGTTCTGCATTAGATTTTGTTTATTTTTCGAATGTTCTGTGAAAAGAATTGCTAGAACGTTTGGTTATAGATTTCTTATTTCCTTCTACACTACACCTCACTTAATTCGTGCTCTTAATATTAAAGGGATTTATGATTAGAATAAGGAATAATTTTGAGACGAAGTGGACTTCTGCGATTGTGGTCGGCCAATCTTTTGCTTTAAACTAATTGCAAGTGCATATGTATGGAAAATGTTTTCAGTAGATATCCTCGACAACAGTGGTAGTTGTAAGCCAGAGTCCAAGTACTTCGTTGTACATACTCTCCTTTACTGTCATATCAATAATACTATCACACCGTATATCAGCACCGTAATGATGCGCACGTCGTTGCAGAAAAGTGGCAGTAATTATTCACCGTTTTCTAGATGTGCTCTCTTAATCTCTGTCGCTACGGCAATTTTGGCAGTGGACTTGCCGGTGTTTCCTCGTCGATTTTCTAAAACAGGTAGAACAAAGAGATTCAAAATTCACATTACCAATATAACACTTTTCAATCTTAACACAATGGCGACGGCGTCAAGTTTTTGTCGGTTGCGCTTATTTTTCGATAACAAATCCATTTGAATAGTTGAAAACCGAATATACATGTGGAATAAGGTCTGTCTCCAGGCGAAATTAAATCTTTACGATATGATCTTTAAGACGAAATCATTCATGATTCAATGTTAAAAGGCGCAATCACTTTCTGATGTGCATGAGTCAAATACGACTCATGTCGTTGCGAACATGTCAAAGTTCTCATAGCGGCCTTTGTTTGAGGGCCTACTTTAATAACATAAATTCTCTGATATTTCAGAAAAATACGGTCATAGTTTAATGGATACAGGAGTAGCGGGGTTTGTGTTCGCCGCCGCTGTTACGAATCGAGTAAAGACATTGAGTACGTGTGATATGAAGACTGTATTGAAAAGGTAACTATAACGATGTGATGTTGAAATATAAATATGACATAACTGCATCTACGTTCCTGCTTCTTAACAGGATGCCTGAGTTCGTGAAATTTCCTTTCCTAAGGACTTATAATGTTATTTGTTTCTTATTTGTCCATTATCGTACATCATAAGTATCCAACGGTAAATGTTGGAATGTCTGGATTATTATGCAATTTAAAATCGTTTATAACAAGACATTAAAATCAGTACACTTTCACCGATTTGTGAATGTTTTCTATAAAGGAACTTATCCTGGTTTTTTTCATTTTTTTTCGTAGCTGAAGACATGACATGGACTTTCGTACTCCATCCTATCAGCTTCTAAGCCACCACTTATGGTACATGGCGGTATGTTTGACCTGTGGCATAATTGGTCTTCTTCGATTGATTAGTGCAACTCGTTGCACTTTTCAGTTTTTGATTTGGTTTGTTCATTTCCTGCTATTCTGAAGTCATTTCGCTGTTATCGGAGAATTTATAATGGACGTCGCATTTTACTGAACACGATAACATAAAGTGTTTCGATGCTTCGGAGTCTTTATCCATTTTCCATGGTTCATCGCAATGGAATCACACTTTTGTTACACTTTTCTTATTGTTTTACGCCTGTAAAATAGCGACAGTATGAAAAGTAACAACAGCCTCTTTAGCTTACGAAAATGATGCGGCATCCAATGGAAGAGATGGTTTTTTAGTATATTTTACTACTTTAGTTGTGGTGTTCTAGAAATGTTTCTATATATGTCTAGTTTTTCCATAACCTGTCAAATTGTTGTTATGAGTGGTCATCTACGATTTTTATACTAGTTGTGCACATTTTTCCTTCAGCTCTTTACAGATCTGTGAAATTTACAGGAGATATTGGTTACGCTGGTTACGTTCGTCATATGTTGTACTTCCTCTGATAGGACTAGCGCGTACTGTTCTGCTCATCGTACTGGACTATCCACAACACGTAACGGAGTATGGCGTGCACTGGAATTTTTTTTACACACTAGCAGTAGTTAAGGTACGATTATTTCTGTCTGTTTTGTTTATATTTGTGTAGTATAACCGATTGGATTGTAGGCTTTTACCTTGCTAATTCTACATGGTTCTCTAAATTGTTGTGAATTTCGACTTGTTCATAGAATATGGAGTTTTGTAGAAGTGGAAGCTTGTGAACCAAACAAAATCGGGAAAAAAAATCTACACTTTATTCGTTATTATTCTTGAAAAAACTATTAGTAATAGGTACTCTTCATCATATTCGTAGCACTCATTATTCGTTAGTCCTCCCAACGGTTTAACGCCTCATCGCGGGCTAGAGGTGTTCCTGGGTGTCAGAGTGCGATATACAGCGGGTAGATTCATCTCCCCAACTTGGTCTCCCAATCCGAGGAGTCTGGCGTTCCCATCAGGAAACCCAGTTAAGAGTAAACCAATACTAATACCAGGATGCACCATTATCTTGGTATCAAACCAGTCGCATATTGGCAAATCTCCCTCTGATCCACAAGGGCGGCGATTGCCTGTGGTGGTAACCACGTGGAGCAGCTTTGGCTAGGCTGGCCTCGGGACTCCAGGGAACCACGATGACTAAACCAGCAAAACTCCGGAAAAATGGAAAGAAATTATTCTTCTGGGGTTTACTCAAGCATTGAAGATCTGCCATCCAATTACATTACCAAAATACGTTGTTCGGTTACTTTTTTTTGTTTGGTCTCATGTTTGTGTCCTTAGGAATAGGTGAGTACTCTCTCCTCTGCTTTCTGGCTAACAGTTATTCGTACCGCTACCCATATTCTTTATGGGATTCATTCATTTAATTTCGAAATTCAGATTGTCTCCAATTCACTATCAAGTAAATTTCCATTACTATGGGCTCTTCTTTTTGGTATTCTTCAGCAGACAATGCTCACTAATGGATACGAGGTTCGGAATCGTGTATTTCTGCACAAACGCGGAATTACTTTCCGAGTATCGCGAAACAGTGTTCTATTATTCGTAAAATTAAAGATTGTAGGGGGAAATTATTATACTATGCGCGTCCCAGTGAAACAATTCAGTAGCTCTAAAACAATTTTTTTGCTCCGCCAAGAATGGTAGATCGGTTAGTTGTGAGGCAAATACTCGTTGAATCGACTTGTGTAAATGTATGAGTTAGTTCGTTTAATGTAGAATTCTCGAATTCTTAAGGTTTACCCACAGGATTTTTTGCGGTTGCAGCAGAGCGAACCTCAAACTTAGGTAATCAAGCTTCATATGTAAATATTACAAAAATAACAGGAAGACGACGGTAACAATGAACAATGTGTATATGGGTGTTTACTTCAGTGCAGTGGTAATACGAGATGATGATTAGTTGCAATGAAGATTATTTAGTCATTACTAACCAACAGGTGATTGAGCGATAAAAGTGATGGGGACTTGTAAACGTCGTCTAAGGTAAATATAACAGAAATGGGTGACTGTTTGGCTGATCGACTGCTGACTGACTGTTTCATAAAGAGTATTCTTACATTTGTGCAAGTGAGCAGTTAAAAGCGCTTTCCAGCAAACTGCGAGGGAACAGCATGGGCCAGCTTTTATGAGGCGTTCTGCGGAAACTGTTACGAAATTAATTTTTTGGAGCAGTATTCGAATAACATAGAAAAGATTTATTAGTACGTAGAAGTAGAGAGTATTGTTTAGGAGGTGAAGGATAGTCTTATTGTTTTATTACCCATAATGAACAACAAACACTAAAGAGCTAGTTAAAAACATTATTGTTTCCCAGTCTTAGGTTATGTTTTGTGAACTTTTATACGGCAGACAGGTCGACCAGTATATCTACACAATAACTCGTTTCGTCATTCATTTGCTATGAGTGTTTATTTTCCGGTGTCCATTGTTGCACAGAGGTTTTTTTTACCACACTTTTTGTACTTATTCGGTAGCTCAAAGTACTGAGAGTACTGGAGATGCGAAACACCTAGACGTGTTTGTATCCTACAGAGTTCCGCTTTAGTAAGAGGCGATTAGCAGAGTAAATGTGGCTCTTATGTGAAAAGATCGGCTAACATGAATTGATTTCAAATTAAAAGAGTTGTATAGAAAAACTACTTACCCGTTGATTAGATACTGCAGCCAAATAAATTGGGTGTCAAACTCAAACTGTTAATTAAACATAATCCTACATTGTTTCATACGCGAAAGGATGTTACCTTCCTGTTTAGGAGTGGATTTTAAATGGTGACAACAAACGTGACACTTTGTTCACCGCAAATGCTGAGGGAATATGTTCATTGATGGGATATATTACGATATTCTACATATCTGATGCTGTTGCTAAGTTTGTGTCTAAGACAGGGTAAGCATGGTGACACTCTATATGGTTTGGAAATCCTTTTTCTATTGAAATTTCTATTTGATTTCTACTTATGCATCACTCACAACCTTTCGGTCAGGATTCGGGTAAAATCTTGGATTGAGTGCTGCTGGAGGCTCTATATTTTTGCCTTTATTTTCTACATCATGCAACTAGGAGCTGAGTGGACGTTAGGGCAGCCGTGCAGAAGAGTAGTCAACATTTCTTACGTTTTTGCTCAGGTAAAGACGACTTATAGAATTGTAATCGCCAAACTAAATTTCCCCGAATCAACTTTCTATTAACCTCGGCATTGGAATATGAATGTGTCGTTTTCTGGTCCAGCAATCGGAAGATTTTTAAACAGCATACATTTACTTTCATAAAAAACACAATACAATACAACGCTAGCTGACGTTTCGGCAGTATCGCCTTCTTCAGAGCCTGGAAGGGTATACTGATATACAATCTACTAGGCCAAACGCTTCAATAACACTTACAAAAAGACGAAAAACTCTATGGCAATTACATGACCAACAGCATCTCGAAAAACTCACCGCTTTTTACGTGACTTCCAATGGGGAAGGTTAGAACAGCTGATTATAGTCGCATATGGTTGACGACTGAACCATCCCACATCAAAAATCGATGCGAACATACGGGGTCAGATCGCGTATGACCTCCGGGCATTCATCCCTGTTATTCATTGTAGGGTTTTTGGCATTTATCCAAAAATCCTCAAGAAGTTCTCGCGCTGGTGTTTTAGTCTGCTGTGCAAGGATATTGACTTTTACTTCAAAATCGACTCCTCTATGATTTCGTATCCTATGCGTGCCTAGTGGGATGCTTCGTCTTAGTTTTCGTTTGCCATCTAGGTGTTCTTTTATACGGATACACAAAGGTCTGCCCGTTTCGCCAATATATTCATCTTCGCAATTATTACAAGAGATCAGGTATATCGTACGTGAAATCATGCAGTCACCGTCTCTGCCGTAAGGGCGAATTACGCAATTTGTTGTTTCACACAGACGGTCATACAGGTGGTTACGAACTAATTGAAGACGTAGAGTAGCCGGTTGTATTTCAACTATCGCTACCGATTCCTCTAGACCTGCTCTTCTTAAGCACCGTTTAATAGTTATGCTTACTTCATCGCCTATAAAAGGCAACATAAACGGGATTTTCTTTTGGCCAAGTGTTTCGCGTGGGCGCCTCGCTCTCCTAAACTTATCTGGTGGGGTGACTATTTCGTAGCCATTGGTGATGACTATTTTCCGAGTCAAGTCGCGCGATTCTTCCTTAAGTTCTCTGATTGTGGACACAGAGGTGGCTTGATAGGTGGATAGGTTTATTTGAACGTTAAGAAATGGAAGTTATGTCTCTTTCGGTTTCTCTCGGGTTAATTTAATATACTCAGAGATATAGGACGGGACGTGTTGGTTTATTGATTTTAAAGTCGAAATAACCGATGATTTTAAACTAGCTGCCTTTGCAGCCTTCACCCACTGATTATTTAGTTTTCGGTATTGATATTGGTTTTCGGCATAGCGTTTAGTTTTAGGTATTAGTATTGGTTTTCGGTATAGCATGCAACCTTTACGAGCTTCAAAATCGACTCCACTATCAGGCCAAAGAAGAAACATGAAATAAAAATAAAAATCAAAGGCAGCCACACTACACCATCTTCCTTCCTTAAAACGTTTTTTAGACAGCAGGACCCTTACGATGGAGTTGGCGTAAAATTCCGCATGTTTTCGGACGGCGTTCTCAAGACCCTTGATCACTACCGCGATAGAAAGTTTATCTCTATCCTTACAGCCGCACAAAAATGTGGCATTATCTTGTCTGTTAGTGATAAGGGGGGAGAGTTCGTAGTTATTCCTCGCCAGCTGGATGTTGAGGTAACAGAGGAACATCTTAGTGATGCTACTCTCTATCGCCCATCCTCTGAAAAGGAATATGAAAATCAATACCGAAAGCTAAACAATCAATGGGTCAGCGTGGCAAAGGCTGCAGGTTTAAAATCATCGATTATTTCGCACTTTAGAATCGATAAACCAACATGTCCCGTCCTATACCTACTTATTAAAACACATAAGCTGGTATCACCTGATGATCAAGGGTCAACCAATACGTCATCATTTAAGGTTAGACCGACAATCAACTGTGTAGTCGGGCGAACGGATACAATAACCTGGTTTTTAAGCCTGATACTTACCCAGTTGCTTAACCACATTCCAGCTCACCTCACAAACACCCAAATGTTCTTAGAACGTCTACGTAACGCGTCTCCTAATAACGCGTACGTGATGGAGTCTTTCGACGTTACCGCACCGTACACCAACGTGTCGAATGACTCCGCAATGCGAGCCATTTTCGAACTTCTCGTTGAACATGAAGGAAGAATAAATATGCATGGCTTATCCATCCAGCAGCTAATGGCTGTCTTAAAAAAGTGCCTAAACTGCTCGATTTTCAGATGGTCTGGGAAATATTTCGCGCAAATAAGGGGGTTGGCAATGGGACAGCGACTGGCACCAAGCCTTGCCATTGTGTTTATGTCTAAGATAGAAGCCCCTGTTCTCGATATCCGGCCACTACTCTACTGCAGAAATGTAGATGTTTGTTTTGTCGTCTTCTCTACGCAGGAGGAGATGGACAAATGCTTCGAATTATTAAACGAGCAGTCCGAGTACATAAAGTTCACCCGGGAGAAACCGAGAGAAAACTGGCTTCCGTTTTTGAACGTTCATGTAAACCTATCAAGTAGCGGTTACCTGACAAAGTGGTATCGAAAGCCAAGTAACAAGAACATCCTTATCCATTTCCTTTCTTTCTACCCTTCACACACAAAGAGGACGATTGTGAGAAACATGTTTTGAACAGCCACCTCTCTGTGCACTACCAGGGAACTAAAGGAAGAATCGCGTGACTTGGCTCGGCAAATAGCCATCTCCAATGGCTACGAAATAGTAACCCCACGAGATAAGTTTACAAGGAGAACGACGCGCCCACGCGAAACACTTGGCCAAAACAAAATCCCGTTTATGTTGCCTTTTATAAGCGATGAAGTAATCGCAGCTATAAAACGATGCTTAAGAAGGGCAGGTTTAGAGGAATCGGTAGCGATAGTTGAAATACCACCGGCTACTCTACGTCGCCAATTAGTTCGCAACCGCCTGTATGACCGTCTGTGTGAAACAACAAATTGCGTAATTTGCCCTTACGGCAGGGACGGTGATTGCATGAGTTCAGGTACGATATACCTGATCTCGTGTAACAATTGCGGAGATGAATATATTGGCGAAACGGGCAGACCTTTGTGTATCCGTATAAAAGAGCGCCTAGATGGGAAACGAAAACTAAGACGAAGCATCCCACTAGGCACGCATAGGATACGAAATCATAGAGGAGTCGATTTTGAAGTAAAAGTCAATATCCTTGCACAGCAGACTAAAACACCAGCGCGAGAACTTCTTGAGGATTTTTGGATAAATGCCAAAAACCCTACAATGAATAACAGGGATGAATGCCCGGAGGTCATACGCGATCTGACCCCGTATGTTCGCATCGATTTTTGATGTGGGATGGTTCAGTCGTCAACCATATGCGACTATAATCAGCTGTTCTAACCTTCCCATTGGAAGTCACGTAAAAAGCGGTTTTTCGAGAAGCTGTTGATAATGTAATTACCATAGAGTTTTTCGTCGTTTTGTAAGTGTTATTGAAGCGTTTGACCTAGTAGATTGTATATCAGCATACCCTTCCAGGCCCTGAAGAAGGCCATACTGCCGAAACGTCAGCTAGTGTTGTATTGTATTGTGTTTTTCTATGGAAGTAAATGTATGCTGTTTAACAACTCCGCGATTGCTAAACAAGAAAACGGCGCATTTATATGCCAAACTAGAGTTGACAAATTCTCGACAATGTGTTTCGTAAGTGAAAGCTAAAAAGGATAAAGCTCTTGGCGTTGATCAGTCATTGACGGTTGCGCCATCCATTCGACTTCATTAAGCATCGTTAGAAGTGATTGAATGCATATCTGGCCTTTGGAATAACTCGAGGTCTTCTGTCGGTGTACCTGGCCAGTGCTACCATCCTCCCGGACGAGTCTGGTACCAATCTACCGAACTCAAGGATTGGAGAGCTTGGTGGGCGTGGGGCGCCGGCATTGATCTCATGTGTATTGCAGAGTGCCTCCGACCACTACGCCTCACGTGCCCCTTTTGTAGGTGTCCAAAATTAATTCCATCTTTCGACTTTACACAAACGTATCTCGGGTTAAACAGTGAATTCTATTAATGGAAATCAAATCTGGATTACGCATGTTTCAGAAGAGAAAGGTGCTTTTGTTCTACCGCGGTGAAACTCTGGTTTTTGGAGCCCACGTATCGTATTCTTTCTTGTGGAGATTGTTAGTGTTTCAAGTAGGGCGATCGTGTCAAAAGTACTAAAACTTGGATTTTGTTAACATTTTCTTTTAGGATTAGAGTACTGGATAATTTTAAGGTTCAAATAACATTTTGGGAGAAGTATATTTATTCTAAAGATTTAAAACGAGTCCTAATTCCCCAGCTACCCAACTGCTCTAATTATCGAAAGAAAAACTGTCGCCTTTGTCAAGTAACTAGCATTGTAGTGAATGTGTTAAAAAGGTTCTTATTTTTGTTGGGAGTTAACAAACAGTTTTGTCCGTTTGGTTTTTAGATGTCATTTTTTACATTTACGTTGGCTTGTTTCTTATGCGTACAAGTATTATCTATTACTGCATGGGCAGCTAATGTTCCACATTTCTCCATTGGTAAGGCTCTTAAAAATTACCATTGCTTCAATTTCATTGTAGACGACGATCATGAAGTGAATTGTGATAATTAAAATGTTATAATCTACGCACACCTTTGTAAACGTAGTGATCGTAAAGGATAAAGGATAAAGCTCTTGGCATTGATCAATCCCGGAGGCATGTGCCATGCATTCGACTTCATTAAGCATCATGTGGTGGTAATTGGATGCACATATGACCTTTACAATAACTCATGGTGGCTTACCGATGTATCGAGTCAGTGCTGCTATCCTCCTAGTCAAGTCTGATCCAAATTACCTGTTCTGAAGGACGGATAGCTTGGTGAGCCTGAGCCGCTAGGATCGGTCTCGTGTGTATTCCAGGGCCCCTGCGATCGCTGCGCTACGCGCGCCCTCGTAGTGACCATAAGCTGTATATATATGATATATATATATATATACATATATGTATATAGTTCATGGATCTCCCTAGTTTTACCTCGAGCCGGTTAGTCGCGAGGCTACGTGGCGCGTCCCCAGGTGGCGGGTGAGGGGTTAATCGCGGACCAAAAGCGAGCTTCCCTGAGACGCAGGTGGATCCAGAGGATGGACTCCCTGTTTCTGCTGCGCCGATTTGACACATACTTTGTGTATTTGCTAGGCGTATCCATGCACGCGTGTGTGGGTGGTGCCTGGCAAGTTACCCGTAAGTATACCCAGTCCCCACGTTCAGAGCCCAGCAAGCTATACGTGGGTATCAAAAGTGCGAAACAGTAAAAAAAAATGGGCCTCATTCCCTGGCCCCGAAAGAGCCCCCAATTCGGCAGCGTTGGCTAGGACGAGTACGGAGAGGCTGCTAAAATCTCAAGGCCAATGGAAGTACCTGGATAACAAAGAACTAAGGTGAAGACGATCTGTACCCTCAATGCACGTACACTTGCATCCGAGTCCTCGATAGAAGACTTGCTCAAGCAAGCAAGAAGAACAGGGTAAGATCGGCCTGGTCGAGGCTACGCCATCTATGACACCGGAGAAGAAGTGTTCCTCGAAATATGCGACCGAGGTAGTAGTCGGTGGCGTCGGCGTTCTCGTCAAGACGAGTTTGTCCTTGAATATCGATTCATTCGAGCAACTAACAACCCGATGTGGATCAATACCATCTTTGAGAATCGTCGTTTACGCGCCGACGTCAAACTATGACAAAGAAGAAGTCAAAGCGCTCTATATGGACTTGGAGAAGTTGTATAGAGATGAACCTCACAGTGGGACCCACAGATTAGAATGGAAGAAACAGGGTGAGATACTGTCCGAGTTTACCATGATGACGAAGACCGTCCGCAATAACTCGCAATTCCAGAAGCCCCACTCTCAACGCTTTGAAAGCTAAGAGTTCGAAAGTCACCAAGTGGCGTCTGTCTTCAGAAACACTCGGGTTGATACGCCAGCGTGGAATCGCACGAGCTGCAGGCTGCCTCGAAATAACGTCCGAACTTGCAGAACAAGGTAGGCAAGTGATAACAGTTATGGTCAAAGCTGAAGAGACTGAGAAAAGCATTAGCAAAGCCCATCGAAGCTTCGACAATTACAAGACCGAAGCGATTGCACACCAACGCCCAGACAGAACATTTACAGCGTCTAGAAAGGCAATGAGAAAGTCATTTATAAATACTACTCAGATCTCTTCAATAGCCACGTCCTCCTTTCCTCGTATGAAATAAAGGAGGATGGATATGTAGTACCACTGGTTCTGTCTTCCCAAATCCGACATGCTATTTCTTCGGTGAGAAATCGAACAGCACCAGGTCCACATCTGAACATTTAAAGAACCTTCCGCTCGTCCTCATAGAACACTGGTTCTGCTCTTCACACGTTACCTGTATGAATGCAAGATCCCTAGTCAGCGGAAGACCAGCAAGACCGTGTTATTTTTCAAGAAGGGTGACCTACACGATATAGTCAACTATCGCCCAATCTGCTTGCTGTCTGTCGTCTACAAACTTTTTACTTTTACTCGAGTCAGCTTAAACAGGGTTGGCAGAGCACTGCACGAAACGAAGCCATGTGAGCAAGCATGGTTTCGAAAAAATTTAGTACGATGGACCCATATCCATAGGATAACAAGACTGATTGAAGTGTTGAAGTACCGCAAGGGTACAAAAGACCGCTCTTTCTCACTTTCATCGATTTAAAGAACGCCTTTGTCTCAATTGTGATAGAAGCAGTGATGTAAGCCCTTGATAGTGAGGGAGTCCCTACTCAGTGTATAAAGATTTTTCGTGAGCTTTACAAAAATTTCACAACAAAGATATCACCATTCTACAGCGATGTTAATACCAGCGTCAAAACAGGGCTTAGGAAAGGCGATACTATCTCGACGAAACTATTTACCGCCGTCCTCGAGAACGTCATACGAACTTTTGAGTGGGATAATATGAAAGTGAAAACCAATGTTCGCAATTACACCATCTTCGCTTTACTGATGACATCGTTCTTGTAACACCAAATATATGCAAAGCGGAACGAATGATTACCAATTTTAACAAAGTTTGTGGAAAGATCGGTTTTTAAGTAAATCTCGCAAAAACCGTGTCCATGAGGAACGGAATGGTTTCGTATGATTTATTCACTCTTAACGGAACGAACATCTCCGAATGCTCCAGTTACGACTATTTAGGTCGGGAAATCAACAAGATGAACGACCTAGCTCCAGAGTTGAGCAGATGGAAACGAGTAGCTTGGGGTGCTTTCGAGAGCATGGTGGATGTAATGAAGAGAACGAAGAACAGTCGACACCGTGCCCGCCTTTTCGACTTCGCGATACCTCCTTCCCTAAAGTATGTGTCAGGAACCTAGTCGCTGCGTAAGCAGGATGAAAGATCACTCATCGTTATTGAACGCGCAGTCGAAAGGACCATGCTAGGAGTATCCCATATCGCGCAAGTAACGGATGGGATCCGAAGCTCTGACCTGCGTCAACGATCAAAAATCAAAGATACTGTTCTGTGCGCCAAACAGTCGAAGATAAAGTGGGCCGGATACGTAATGCGTATGAATAACAAGAGCCTCAAGAACAAGAATAACAAGAGGACAAGAGCCGTTAGTGAATGTATTCCTCGGGATGTCAAAAGCACTGCAGGAAGGCTACCGACCCGATGTTCAGAGTTCTTCACGAAAAGCCTAGATGAAGGACATGATGCTCAACGAGTTCCTATAGCGAGTAGAACCCATTGGACCGCTCTTGCACGCGATAGGGAAAAGTGGAAGGTTTACTGGCTCCCGCTCGAGTCACTCGACGATCAACGAGGCTACAGTACAGGTGACACAGGTGGTGTAATAGTAGATATATGTGAAACCTTGAAGAATAAGCATCCGAAAGTGTGACACAATGTGAGGTACTGTGGGTAAGAAAGTAGATTTAGTAGTGCTGATCATCTAGCAACGTTTCAGTTCCTTATTATCATTGAGATTTGTATTTCACAAGTCTTCTTTTTTCAGACGAAAACCCTTGGTATGGAGTACAACCCTGTCTGTCGACGTCCGTTAACAAGTCGGGATTAATTTTCTTTCTTTTGGCTAACATTTTCACTGGTGCAGTTAACCTGGCCGTGGACACTCATCATACTGATGACATCACCGCCATGTGTATCCTCGTCGGATACCTCTTTTGCCTATGCATAATAGCCCACTATCGGACCAACATGAATACAAATTGCTAATGATTAACGGGTTTGTGCTGTCATTTTTACTATACAATGACATGCTCCAAATACTATTCGGGAAAACAAATCATATCGATTTTAAAAGTAACCACTTTCTTGTTCGACCATATTCGAACATTATGAAAAAACTTGTAGGCTTTTAAAGTGTTAGGTAGCTACGTCTTTGGCACTGGCGTGTCCTGTTGAGTTAACACTTTGGGTCCACCATACTCACTATCACTGTAGATATTTTATGATCACTGGTACATGTATTAATTGACCAAATCGACTTATAACTTCTCTATTCGTCTGCATCTTCTCACAATGTATTTTCTCGAAACTGTTATGTAATGGTAGCCTCGCAGGTTATTAGAAATGCTTCTGTGTGATTAGACTTTACCTCGCATCCTAATAATGCCATTTATTGCAATCTGTGATATAGATTGTTTTGTACCCTTTCAGTGGATTTTTAAAACAATAGTCGCCTAACGATGTGATGATGTGATCTCTGGTCATCATTTGATAAGATTTATTGTGCATTGTCTATTTTTTTTCCTAGGTCCAATGAGAAGTGCTCTTAGTTCCGGCTATGTTGCTCCATTTCCAGACAACAAATAGAATCCATGTTATCGCATGTCTGAGAGCTCCTAATAAATCAGGTCCTTTGTGGTTAGCATAAATTCCCAATTCTTTGAAAGAGTAATGTTTGTTTGTGTTAAGAAACGCGGCTAAGCAACGCTAAAACATCTCATTTAACATGCAGCTTTCAATGAAATAACTAAAAGGGTCAGAGGTGTGATTTTGCCGCTTTAGAGGTCGCACGAGAACATCAGTGCCACAGATATTAGTGTGACTTAATTCTATAAACAACCTAGATTGGAAACACGAACATTCACAATAAGTTAGATGTCATGGGAGTGTAGTTACACCAGATCAAAAACAGAAGAGTGAGCTGTTTATGATTTAGTTAGTATTTCACGAGCATTTTCATTAACGATATTCTCCATTGCTATAACATCTTTACTCCATGCTTCAATACGATTCGCCATCGATAATACCTTAAATCCCATAATAAGAATGTTGACGTAATGTGGAAAAATTGAAAGAAGCAAGGAAATTAAAGTTAGCAAACGGATGAAAATTTTGAAATAATCGCTCCTTACTTGTGTCGAGTTCAGCACTCGTGGTTGCACCCATGTAATTATTACAGTCTGATTGACTTGATCAATTGCTCCTCGTACTAGGTCTTTGCTCAAGGCCTTCATCACAAGGAACTCCACCTAAACACAGACTAGTTTGTGCTTTAGCTTGATTCTAGTATTCTTCATGAAGCACAATGATTTTCAATAGGTTCGATCGATAAGATTTTCGAATGATCTTGGGACAATTAGTGGAAAATTGATGGATGTCATTAATTATGAAGTTAATGTTGCCATATTAGATGTTGGTGTACTCGTCGGTTATTCCGATCATTTAAAATACTAGGAAAACCTTTTAAAAATTTTTTAAAACAATGACCAGTAGAAGAACAACATGCTGAATATTCATCATAAAATAAAAATCGGGCAAATAAGATAGAAGAGCAAGAACAGTGGGATTTCGATCCGACTTACTTCGTTATTATGTACTTGACATCTCGATGCAATTTCTTTGAATGAAATTTTACGTTCTTTCGATGGACGAGCAAGAGCCAACTACAAATACAACGTCTGAATACAACGTCGTAGACATCATCTCCAAGTATGGATGGATTACCACCAGTCTGCAACGTTTTCATCTAAAAGTTATAACGAGGCATACCTCCATGATAGCGAGCAGACGAATTTTGCCAACGAGGAACTCTTTCTTCCTTTTAAGGTCGTCCCATTCTAACCAATTCTTTTCCAGTGCATAAAATTTGTTGAGATCACCACTGTTGAACGCATATAACACCTAAATTCGAGGGTAAGCAACTAGACTTTAGCCAAATTCTAGCTATTAAGTCAAGGCCGGCTATAAGAAAACTTGAAGTTATAAAATTACAACACTCACGTCAGCCAGCCATTTCTCACTTGAGCCATCAAGGACTTTCAAAATTGGGTGAGCCAGCTAAAAGCTTTGTTTTCAGAAATGGGTAAGCCAAGTTAAGAAAAAGTTTCTACTGATCACATTGTTTAGTTATACAAGACAACAATGAAGGAATTTCAAGCGTACAATCTTAATTCTCTATATTCTTGCTGAGCAAATATGAGGTGTTACTTTATTCTCTATCACAGCAAAGCTGGGGTTTCAGCGGTTTTCGCCTTCTTCAGAGCTCGGAATGGTCAAGTTGACTGCAATCTACCCAGCAAAACACCAACAAAACCAAAAGAGAAAAAAACGCGAAACCAAGATTTCAATGGTATTGGGAACAAAATAGCTTCGCACACTTATCGCTTTCTACCAGTCTTTCACTGAGTATTCACATGGAGACCGACCGCATATTGTTCACATGGAAGCGTAATGTGCCTCTCTCACATAAAAATATCAGTCTTAAATACTATGTGAAATTACGCATGATTACGAGGAATTCTCCCTACGGTTCGCTTTTGGACTCTTGGAATTTATACAGAATTCCCCGCAGTTTTGCACGGTTTCCGATTCCTGTGCTAGGACAGTTTTGTTTTCAAAAATGGGTAAGCTAAGTAAAGTTCCATAAGGTCTAATACTAAGGTAACATTGTGTAGAAAGTTCTAAGAGACAGTCTGAGTGAACTGCAATAAAATGGCTTCCAGAACGTATAGGAACACGGCTAACGAAGGTTAAACGAGTCACAGTAGGATAGATAATGTGCCAGGAAACTCAATACTAACCGTTTTGGAGGCATGACTCTCCTTTATGGGAAAGCAACAACCTTACACAGGAGTCGGAAACACCAATGCGCAAAACTTCCTCAGCATAATGGACAAATCTCAAAAATCCGAAAAGAACCACAAGAAGGAACTCCTCGTTATCACACGTGATCTCACACACAGTACTTAAGACTGATATTTTAATGTGAGAGCCACATTATGCTTTCAAGTTAACTCTCTGCCGTTGGTCTCCACGTGACATACCCAGTGGAAGACTCATAAAAAGCATTAAATGTGCGAAGCACTTATTTTGTTTTCAGTGCGATTAAAATCTTGGTTTAACATCTTCTCTGTTTGGTTATAGGGGTGTTTCACTAAGTAAATTGCAACCAACTTGACCATTCTAAGCCTTGAAGAAGGCGAAAACCGGCGAAACGTCAGCTTTACCGTAATAAGGAATAAAGTAACACCTCGTGTTTGCTCAACAAAAATACATATACTTATGTGATCAATGCCGAGGTTAACAGAAGGTTGGTCTTGGGACTTAACATTTGAACAAATTATTTAGTATAATCGCGATAGATGAGAAATTCTCATGTCATAAAAATTCGATAAAAAGAAGATTTAAACCCACCAATTCTCCAAAGTTGTAAACATTCTCGCCAAGCAATGCCGCAAACCCTATCAATACGGCCTAAATATGATTTAGAAAACAGAAACAATTAGAAATCTATACTTCCAACTTTACTTGCACATGCTTTTCCTCTGCAGTCATTTTGCCGATGTCTTCAACTCCAAGATAACGGAGCGCTTCACGATAGTACCCGGCAAAATCCCCAATTTCTTTGAGATACATGGCACTAACCTGAAAAAAATTCCATCAGTGTGAAAGTTAAGTTGTTACGAAAGGATTCCGCTAACCTTGTAGAATGGCGCATGAGCCTCTGTAACCCCAACAAAACTGTCAATTTCACCACGAGTTAACTCAATGAGATCCTACAAAAACTATAGATAGTAGTGTACCATAAGGAAATACCTATTTAATAACATTACACCACACCAAGACACATACCCTAACTTTTTTAATGTCCACCAAACGTTCACCCTCATCTTTGTGGTTAAGCCTGAGTTCAATTTGACCAGCATGAATACGAGCAAGAGCCACCTGTAGTGAATTTGGTGAAGATGATAAACACAGTAAAAGAAAAAGAAGTAAGTAAAAGAAGTGAAATAGTCATGCTGTTTAGTGGAGAGGTTGAATTTCAACTGTTCTTAAATTACCTTGTCCTTACTAACGGTTTTCTCAATTTTGGCGAGAAAATCGTAAGCAGCTTCTTTGTCTGAAACAAAGATGAAGACGACTGATTAGCAATAAACACTTTAATAAATGTAAACAGCTAACTTTGATTAAAAATATATTTAGCTATAGGCAAAACGATTTCAACGAGTTGAAGTGCGTTTATACGGTGTTCGAATTCGGAGATGAACCTAAATTGGTATGAAACATGTATTATAACTAGATATGAGCTCCCTGACATAACTCAACAGTGACATACCCATCATAGAATTCCTTCTGATTCAATGTTGTCGTGAAAGCTGGATTAGCCTGTGCAGCACGAACCTCCTGTGTCAACTGGTGCCACAATCTGAATTGAAATATGTAAATCAAATAACTCCTTCTAACGGTTTACTGCTTCATCATGGCTGGGAGGTGTTCCTGGGTTTCGGGCTGGAATGTACAGTGGACAGATTCATTGCCCAACAAGGTATCCCAAGCTAAGAAGGAGTCAGACGTTTCCACGAGGAAGCCCAGCTAAGAGTAAACCAATACCAAGATCCACCACAGTCTTGGTTTCAAACTAGTTGCATGGTGGTAAATCCTGTCTGATCCACAACGTTGGCGACTGCATATGGTTGAGACAACCTGGGGCAAACTTTGGCTAGGTTAACCTCGGGAATCGAGGAAACCACAATGGCTAAGCCAGCAAAACTCCGAAAAAGACGGAAATTATGTTGGCGCCCGCACATCCAGTGAGAACGGGCCATCCAAGTATCCAAGTTAGTAAATACAATGGCTGTCGTTTCGGTGATTTCAGCTTCCTAACAGCCTTGCTTCTAGACCAGCCGCTTGTTATTTATGAGGGATGATGAGTTTTGCGCCTTTTTAATACCAAGATTTATTCAGCACAACATCCGTTGACGTTTGGACGGTGCCGCCTTCTCCTGAGCGAGTTGTCTTCGTTTTGATATTTCGTCCTTTTCTTCAGATACAATGACTAACGTTCCGGTGATTTCATCTTCCTCAGAGCCATGCTGCTAGACTACCCGTGTATTGTACACAAGGGATGACAACAAGTAAAAAACACAAAAAAATAAAACATGTAACTTCAACGATGCTGAGATATTTGCAGAACTCCGCACCGCAGGTGTAGACGGTGGGGAACGAACGCGCTATGGTCCTTTCCGGGTAGTAACGCGTTCACCACCACACCATGCGGGCCCTTCGTTTCGCACGTTTCTCAGCTAGTTCTATCGATCTCTGCCATCAGCAATCACCCGTCAACGGGATTTACCAGGGGAGCCCAAATCAGCAATGAACCCAGTTAAAATATGTAAATAAAAATTGCTAAGTACAACCCTGTTGTCATTTTGGTCGTAAGAAGTGATGCAGAACGAAAACAAACCCTACTTTCTAGAATAAAGTTGCTCGAATTTCAACCAAATATCTGCAACATCGCCTTTGGCCGACTTCTTGTTTTTAGCCAGGTAGGTCTCCACGCGTTCAGCCATCACAACACTAAATGAATGTTAAAATTGACAGGACTTTAAATGAAGTATGCACACTGATGAAATGAATGTGAATGACAAACAGGTAAGATCATAAACCAAGATCATAAATCATAAGACGACTATTGATGTTAGGAGGAAAATAACCATCCGTTTGGTGATTGTGTGACTACCCACCTACAACAATGTGTACTGAAGAAATATGAAAGATAAACTGATCACAAAAAGGGATACGGAGGCAAAGTTGGCTCGCAGATGGATCGTCAGGATGCCGCTGCTGCTGGCTGGGATCCAGAAGAACAACTCTCAAAATACGATAGTCAAACTAATTACAAGCAAGGTTTTGGGCGGAAATTCGGCATCCAGAAAGATAGACAGAATAAACCTACGTCAGGTTACGACGTTTATAACAATTTGGAAAAACGTGAGAAACAGATAGGCTACGGAGGGAAATTTGGTGTAGAGAATAACAACCAAGGACGTAGCGGAGCTGGATTTGACTATAACGAAAAGTTAGCATGAAAGCCTACCAACAAATAGGGATATATTAAAGACTGTTCGCGGAATTGTGCTTCTTGTCCACGCACCAGTAAGCTGAATGTTACTGAACTTGACAGGAAGAATAGATACTATCTACTTCTCCATACAAAAACCATCTTCTTAAGTCATCATGTGTAAATATGCGTGAAATAACTTGTTTCTTACGAGATTTCACGTACTTAACAGAACATCCGAGTAGTATTGTAGCATTAAGAACTTATTAAGCTGCTATAGTGTTTGTTATAAAAAGAGTTTTACCTTTACGTTATATACAGTTTTAACGGGACCATCCATTTCAGTAAATTAGCACTTATGGCAATTTTTAGTTCCAAGCCGCAACATACCATAGCAACCAATTAGAAAGCTTAAAACTGGCGTATGCAGTAAATAGTAAGCTTAAGAAACCTAATGGATTGCATTTTTCACCTTCAAATAGAAGGACTAAAGTTTTAGGCATCAATACCTTCTTGGATTCTTAAGCTAACGATAAGCTGGCTAACAACTAGCTAATAAGCCTTAGTAACCCAGGAAGGTATTGATCGTTACTACCAAGGTTAAATGACGGCCGGTTTGAAAAGCATTGCTTTGCTGTAGGTATCGTTATTGATTATCAGTGGTGTGAATTTACTTTCGTTTTTCACTCCATCTACATAGTTGTGGGATTGTTTTGTTTTGAATTTTCATGGTGTATTTTCGAATTCAACTCTCAAAAACGGTGCCCGTGTAGCGCAGTGGTCGGAGGCGCCCTGCAATACACAAAGGGTCGATCCACGCGCCTCAGGTTCACCAAGTTCAGCGCTCCTCCGGGATCGGCAAATTGGCACCAGACTTGTCTACAGGATAGTAGCACTGGTTCGATAAAAGGCTGCAGTGAGTAATTGTAAAGGCTAGATATACATTCAATCAACTCCAACGATGAGTAATGAAGTCGAAAGCATGGCATATCTCTCAGGGATTGATCAACGCTGAGAGTTCTATCCTTTTTATTATCGAGTTTAATCTGCTAAGTACTCATTTCTGACAATCACTGGAAAACAGAGAGGGATCTGTGGTGATCTAGTATCAGTTCATAAGTCATGCAATGCGATGAGTAACGCGGAGTTATAAATTTAAAAAGGATAAAGTTCTTGGCGCTGTTCAGTCCGTGGGGGATGCGCCATGCTTCGACTTCATTAAGCATCGTTTCGAGGTGATTGAATGCATACATAGCCTTTACAATGGCTCGCGGTAGTCTACCGATGTGTCGAGCCAATGCTGCTATCCTCCTAGATAAGTCTGGTAGCAATTTGCCGACCCCGGAGTGATGGAAGACTTGGTGAGCCTGGTACGCGGAGATCTAACCTATATTACTGTATAGTGTATTGCAGGGCTCCCCTAACAACCGTAAGGTGGAAGATCGTTTCGAAATGGCAACCACCATATTCGTCTGATTAGCGCCTCATTGCACTGAACTGAAGAGAACACAGCTGATGTGACAGCAGTACATCATGCTTTATAACCCAATTTAAAACACTGATAACGACACCTGACTTCCGTCGACCGCTGCACATTTTCCGACAACTGTTGTAGTTGAAGAGTTTTGAAGTCGTTATAATTTTTCTAGGATGTGATTTTCTCGCAGCAAATCTCGAGATTGAGTTTCTTTTAACCTCGGCACTGATCAATAATCAACTGTTTTCTTGGTGAGCAAACACGAGATTGTTATTATAATATTCATTCATTCACGATAGCTCATGTTTCGGCGGTTTCACCTTCTTCGGAGCTTGGAATAGTCAAATTGGCACTCAATCCACTCAATAGGACACTTTTGCAAGAGCGCCAGGTAAAACTTAAAACATGCTTAAACACTCACCGTTGCTGTTTAGATTGTTCAGCTTACGCGACGTTTTATTCGGCTGACATTTCGACGTCATCCTCTTCTTCAGAGCCGATGATCTGAGTCAACGATGGTCCACAGTGGTTCGTACTCTCGATGTGAGGTTTTCGTTGTTGTATCGAGTCGAATCTTCTGACTATGTTGTCCTGATTATTCACACCGAGGCTAAATGAGAAATCGGTTTAGTTAATTACTCACTATTTTGTTCTTCATAAGTGCTCCAGTGATTACTGGGAACCAGTTGCACAGAATCTCACAGATTTTCTCATCCAGTCGGTACGGCTGGTCTCCATTAGTGACTGGAGGACTTATAGAGAACGAACGGTGTTTAAAGAAAGCCCTTCACTACGTGACTAAACATGTATTAAGTTTACTCTGCAGAGGTTATTAAATTGTTTGATTGAGTGGATTGAGTGTCAATTTGACTCCTCCGAGGTCTGGGGAAAGTGAAATCATCGGAGAAACATCAGCTATTGTGAATGGATAGATGCAGTAACAATAACCGGATGTTTGCTTATCAAGAAAGCAGTGAATTGAATGGTTTTCTTCTTATTTGTTTAACTATAATTTTGAATTTCAGTGCCTAATTTGACCTTTAATCATGAGGATATGAGTTTTTAGATAGCCGATCGATAGCACTACATTGGGGCGCATCTACGTTAAAAGTGCATTACAACATACACACTTGGTGCATGGTACGGTCGCATGCCGAAGGCTCACCAAGCTTTCCATCCCTCCGGGTTCAACGAGTTGGTATCAGATATGTCTGAGAGGATAAAAGCATTGGCTTGATACATCAGTAGGCCGTAATAAGTTATTATAAAGACAAAACATGCATTCAACCACGCATAACGATGCCTATGGAGCCGAATGCATGGCGCGTCCCTAAGAGATTGATCAAAATCGGGTCGTTTATTCTTTGCTCGATTAACCTTACGTCTTCGGCTTCTACATCATTCTTGTACGGTCGGTTATTTGTTCACCCCTACTTTCATTCTATGTACTAGGTTTAAATATTGTCTCCAGATCAACTAGTACGAAGACTGAACATGGGCATCGTTGCTTAAGAAATATTTCTCTCGTATTCCTGTAATGATGAAGACCTGGAAACATCCTTGAAAGGTTAAGTCAGGACTTCAAAGAAGACCAGATTACTTAACCAGCAGCAACATTACGTCTTAGGCATCTGTGTATAACTACTCTTTGTGACATTGCTGTAGATAGACGTTGAATTACGATGTGCAGTGGTGGTAGTTCATCCCTTGCCAGAGTCACCGAAAATGAGAACCAAACCCCAACTGAGTTCGAGAATCTCGTTGTTTCATAAAGCTTGGCTATCCATATATCAGTTGTCAGTTTTGATAATGTACATTCGCCCAAACGCTCAGGATTGATTTTTCCAGACAGTGAATACAGTTTGGTTCAACTTTTCATAACTGCATAATTATTATCGTCACTGTTCATTGTCGAGTATGGTTTGTTCTTAGAAAATAAAACCTTTGAAAGAGTAATGCAAATTTTCGATGTTAAATTGAGAAGCTGTGCATTTCACTCGCAAAGATGTGTAGATCACATTTTTTGATTATCCGTTTATTTATATCGATATTATAAAGGATAAAGCTATCGGGGTTGACCAATCCCTGAAGGGTGTGCCATGCTTTCTACTTCATTAAGCATCGTTTGGAGGTGATTGAATGCATATCTGGCCTTTACAATGACTCGCGGCAGACAGGTCTGGTACCAGTTTCCCGACCCCGGAGGAATGGAAAGCTTGGTGAGCCATGGGCGCGAGGACCGATTCCATGTGTGTGTTGTAGGGCGCCTCCGACCGCCGCGCTACATGCACCTTTATCTGTTATATAGTCCTTATCCATGTTTATATTATATGTACTATTATTTATGTTTATGCAGTAGTGATCTGCACGTTTACTTTTGAAGTGCAAAAGTCAAAATTACTTCCTAAACTGCTTATATTAATTGATTTACAACAGCATGAAATAGATGTATTCAAATTTTATTAGGGAAGACTAGTAACACGGATCGCCAGAGAATTTAATGTAGGAATTTCAGTTAAAATCCATCTTTTTAAAGAATGTAGGTGCCCTGTTTACATAGTTGGAAGCGTTTTTAGTCCGATCATCAAAATTGGGTTACTATTCTTATCAGATTCACCCTTATCTTGAGGAGTTTATCAGTTAAGAGCAAAACTGATGCTTAGTCTGGAAATGTTTCACATACACAAAGGCCAAATTTCATATACGTAATTTGTTGCATTTTGTTTTTTATTTACTCAATGAGAGCTCACATACCCTCCCAACGGTTAACCGCCTCGTGACTGGCTGTGTTCCTGGGTGTTGGACTACAATGTACAGCCAGTGAATTCATTGCCCAGCAGGGTCTCCCAAGCATAGAAGGAGTCCGGAGTTTCCATCAGGAAGCCCAGCTAGTAGTAAACCAATACCAGGATTCACCACCGTCGTGGTACCAAACTAGTCGAGCAAATATCTCTCTGATCCACACACAAGTGCGGCGACTGCGTGTGGTGTTGACAACCTGCAACATACTTTGGCTAGGCTGACCTCGGGACCTCAGGGAACCGCAATGGCTAAACCCGCAAAACTCCGAAAAAACGGAAATTATGCTGGAGTCCGCACAACCAGACGAGCCATCTAAGTATCTAAAAGTTCACATACCGTCCTGATCTAAACGCTTTTCTTTTAATTCCTCATATTTTTGTTGAGCAAGCGCGAGGTGTTATTACTCTTTATTCACGAATAAGCTGACGTTTCGGCGGATTTGGCCTTCCTCAGAGCCGTTTTCTATGAGGTTTCCACTAAGTATGTCGCGTGAAGACCAACCGCACAGAAATCACATGGAAGCACAATGTGCTTTTCTCTTATTCTCTTTGTTGTCTGCCATCAACAAAGAGGTGTTTTGGATTTACGCTTCGGTTCGGCAGCCATTTGAGGATCTTTTGGTCTTCTTCATCTAGCTACATGCTATTCGAGTTGATCTTCCTGTAACCCTGTGACAGTTATGCTGCGGGATTTCCATGTCTTCAACACTGACAGTCGGTAGCCTTTATGGAGTATACGGAACTTTCCCC